TAAGCAAATAAACTTGTGATTCGATATATTGTGATGGTCCATGATATTACTGAGAGACTTTTGATGATACAGTATCATGATATTTTAGTTATTGTTACATCCCTATAAAACATAATTTCAAAAGTGTAAGTAAGTATTTTATTTATGTAGCGCGTGTCACAAAGACGCTTATTCATTCACTTCATACTCGGTGAAGGCAAGATACTATTGTACTAGGCACTATGGGTGAAGTGTCTTGCCTAAGGACACAACGGCAATTTTGTGACACTGTGGCACCTGATTTTCCAAGTGGTCTCCCATCCAAGTTCTAATCAGGTCCGGCCTTGCTTAGCTTCTGAGATCTGACGGGATCAGGCTTTAACAAGTCGGTATGGCCACAGGTGTATTGAATAGGCTTTACTGGTGGAGGTGAAGAGGAGGATGGAGACAATGAGGAGGCTAAAGGTTTGGCTGCTGCAGTAAATCACAGAATGAAGGAGGGAGAGAGAGTGTATTTATGTGATTGGTTGAGAGGCAAAGGAAACAGGTTCTGATTGGTTGACAGTTATAGACAAGGTACAAAATTATTAAGGAGGGTGTCAACTTTTTAACATTGCTCCCTCACCCAAAACATTTAAATATGTTGTTTTTCTGGAATTTTCAAAACAATAAAAAGTAAGGTCATGATCTAAATATGATGTGTTAGTAATTAATACCCTATAGAAGTCTAAAATACCTTCTCTTTAAATTAGAAAACACATTTTACCATGGATATTTTCTTCCGTATAATTCATAGTTTATATTAGGTAAGAAGTCATAAATGTACTGAATCACAAATAGTTGTTTTTCTTATTTTTCAGGGAAGATTTTGGTACATTGCATAATGGGAATGAGCCGCTCCTCCTCTCTGGTCTTGGCCTACCTCATGATCTACGAGCACATGTCGCTGAAACAGGCACTGCACTGCGTCGTCCAGAAGAGGGCGATCTACCCCAACAGAAACTTCCTGGCTCTGCTCCTGGACCTGGACCTGCAGCTCATGAAGAAGAGGAAAAAGAGGAGGATGTGTGCCATTCTTTGACCAACTGGGATCAAACCAGGGCGGCGTCCCATTTCTGTTCAGTAAATGTTGTCTCCTTGAATCCTTGTTTCCTCAGTTCATCACACTTGGAATTAGTCAGTATCACTTCTCTCTGGATTTTTCTTCTGCTGTGGGGGGATTTACAATTTAAAAAGGAACTGAGTCAAGCATGAAGTGAACAGAAATGGGATGCAGCCTAGAAGGGGTGCATCAAACTTTTCAAAACCTTAACTCCTTGATTTCTGTTTTTAGCCACTTACAATAGACCTTTTTTGCAATGTCCGGAAGAGACGCGATGTAGGGTAAACATCACTTACGTTAATGCTTTTCTACGACAAAATATCTCTGGAAATGCCTTGTGAATTTTCCAACAGCTTCATTAATCTGCCCCCAGCACCAAATTTTCATCCAACATTCATCCAAGAGGAATTTATTCAAAACTATCAAGGTAACAAAGACGAAAACTTAAAGGCGAACAAAGACAAGAATTAGTGAACTACTCCTGAGCAAAACTAACATTATGGTCATGAATAAAACATAAGTAACTTGTTAACTCAGACTGATTCTACAATTAAAATTAAAAATCGATTTCATGATGTAGATCAGGCATGTCCAAACTATGGCTCGTGGGCCAAATGCGGCCCTGAGACAAATTTTTCTTGGCGCTCAGGCTTCCAGATGAATTGGCCCAAATTACCTTGCCAATTAAAAATTAACTTTCTACTGCAAGTTTTTTTTTTTTTGAAAATCTACCTTGATAAAGCAAATATTTAATATTTATTGTGTGGTTTTAAGAATTTTAGCATGAATAAAGACTGATGGCTCATTCTAACGTGTTAAACATGCACATATTTCAATTATTCACTGTATTGAGCACCAGTCTACAGCGCTGGATCGGCCCTCTACTTCATCTGTGTTTAGATATGTGGCCCTTAATTAAAAAAAAGTTTGGACACTCCTGATGTAGATATTAGTGTAGTCAGAGAGATTTGTGCAGTTTAAATGCGAGACATGTAATCTGTGAACATCTGTAGCGTTCGAACTGCACAAATCTCTCTGTCTATGTGAATATCTACATCATGAAATCGATTTTTGATTTTAATTGTAGAATCAGTCTGAGTTAACAAGTTACTTATGTTTTATTCATGACCATAATGTTTTGCTCAGGAGTAGTTCACTAATGCGTCGTCGTTGTTTGCTTTAAGTTTTCGTCTTTCTTACCTTGATAGTTTTGGATAAATTCTTCATGGATGAATGTTTATCCTTTGTCGACCTTGTTGGATGAAGATTTGTTGATGGGGCAGATTTATGAAGCTGGTGGAAAATACTCGAGACATTTCCACAGATATTTTGTCATAGAAAACGTAAGTGACGTTTACCCAACATCACGGCACTTCCGGCTGTTGTGAAAAAGGTCTATAGACAGAATGATACCTGTAAGAATTACCATCTCTCTCTCTCTGTCTCCATGGAGATTTCATTATTTTGCCTGGAATGTTCCACAATATGACATTAAAACATCTCTATTTTCAATTACACAAGCAGGAGTTCCCACAAAGGCCAAGCTGCATTTCAGATCTGTGGAGAGGCGAAAGTTTTATTCAACACCTGTAACTGAATGAATACAAGATAGATAAGTTTAATGCCATACTGTGGAACATTGCAGGCAAAGCAATAACATCTCCATGGAAACAAGCAGGTGGCATAAACATATATAGTGCACCTTTAAGGAGACAAGTTTTGACACTGATGAAGCACCCCTTTAAAAGCTTGACAAGTTTCTCTAACGGGCCGATCACGATCACACCAAATGTGTATTGCCCAAGGACACAACAACAGAGCTGGAATTTAACCTCCAACCTTCCACTTAGATATCAGTGTCCTTGGGCAAGACACTTCAAGTACTACTACAATCAGATTTTATTATTGTGTTGTATTTTTTGTATTTATGTACAGTTCATAACGTCTCACTTTACTCAACAAATCTATGGACCAAATGTAATCTTTATTTATAACAGATTTAGCATCATAAAGAAAAAAAAATCTTATTTATTCAATTTTGATTTAAAATGATTTTGTCCACCGTTGTTTTATGTACTGTAAATAAACTCACTTACACAGCAGGTTTTTTTTGTATTCTCTGATTATAAAAATTGAACCTAAACCTATAGTGTTAAGTACTGAACTGGATTATTTGCAAACTGTTAAATCATAATTATACTGGTGTATCCTTATTTCAATTTGCAGATTTCAGGAATCCACTCTTATTATTATTGTTATTTCTCCAGTCCTTTGTTTTTCTGGCATGTAATTGCTTTAATTGACTTCATTCATCAGTTTGCTGCAGGGATTCTTAGCTTCTTACAAAATATTTCACCTCTTAATGAACCAGTAGATACAGGACTAGTGCCCTCTGCTGGTGTGCATGAGAACTAAGGCTTTGAGGTATTTCCTAGACACACTCATTACTCCTGGCGCCACCTAATGTTTCCGCTCAATTTCATTTCTCTCCAGCGACTTTGTCAGGAATCGGAATAAACTAGACAGTTTGCAAAAATCCCGGAAGTGCGAGTTCGGGCACCAGCCAATCAGCAAAGTGTTATACATTCTGTGTTGGCAACGATTCCCGAGATCGAGGATTTAAAGACAGAACAAAGAAAATGTTATTAAGACGTTATTACCCTTCTTCCTACGGGAATTGGGAAAATCTTAATATATCCATTAGCCCTGTTAGCGGCGCATTACGTACGTCACGACCAAACAGCAGCGATTGGTTAAATTTTAAAAAGTACTACTGTCGAGGGAATGAATTCTAATGCTGCGAAGTCAGATGGTTTCCACGAAGTTAAACCGGCTGACGAATCAGGCTAGGGATTCTTAGCTTCTTACAAAATACTTCACCTCTTAATAACCAGGAGATATAGGAATAGCTCCCTCTGCTGGTGTGCATGAGAACTAAGGCTTTGAGGTATTTCCTAGACACACTCATTCCTAAGATAAGATGGTAGAAGTAGTTAAAAACAAACAAACAAACAAACAGAAAAATACAATACAGGCCAATCTTATATAATTGTGTTTGTACATAGAGTTGTGTCACACGATGATATAATAACAAAGAGCAAAAAAAGGTTATTAAAAATGTAAATAATTTAAATAGCAAAAGCACATGTTGAATAATGCACAAATATGCAGATTTGTATAGGTACAAATAAAATAAAATATAAAGTATATGCTATACACAAGAGACGGTGGGGTAAAAACAAACTGAATATAGAGAGTTATGAAAGAGTTAATTAGTGCATTTAGGTGGAACTTTTCTGGTTGAGGGTCCGTCAAATGCTTGTTTCCATGGAGGTGTTATTGCCTTGTCTGGGATGTTTCACAGTATGGTGCTAAACGCTACTTTACAAGTCAGATCCGTGGAGAGGCGCCCATATTCACAGATGGAATTATTGTTTTTTTTGAGCAATAGAAACACCTGTAATGAATAAATGATAGATGAAAGTGTTTAAAGGCGCATTGTGTAACTTTTCTGGAGGAGGCTCTACCAAATGGAGACCAACCCAGACCAAGTTACAGGTCAGATCTGTGGAGAGGCGACCCCACTCACAGTCAGAATGCTGTTTTGTAGGTATTTTTGAGCTATAAATCCAGTTGTAATTGAATAAATGTAAAGAAGAGCTGTTTAATGTCATACTGTGGAACATTCCCGACAAAGCAACGACATATCCATAGAAAAAGGCAGGTGACGAACCCCCAAACGAAAACTTACACAAACAGGGTTATCTTATGTGAGTATTAAACCCGATTCATTAGTTCATTTGTGCTCTCTTGCTCTTCTTCTGTGTCACCTCTGAGCGGTGACAAACTCAGATGATGATGTCAGCTGCGGTATGTTCAGGCTCAATTTCAAAAGTTAAAAAAAGCGTTTGTGGAGTGAATCTCGAAGAGCACACGGACAGCGGCCTACGAGATCTACAGGACAGACCACTTTCTACCGCCAATGTAAGCTTTTTTATATGTCCGTAAAAAACAAATGTGTATTCTGTGTGTAAGAAACTATAGCTGGTTTTCACGGTATCAACATTAAACCGGCAATGTTATTCAGGGTTTTTTTTTTTCAATGGATAGGTCAACGCTTGTGGGACAGCGTAGCTTTAAACTAATCTTATATTTATTCAGCTGTTGGTGTTTCTCCGCTAAAAGAAAGGCCTTGAAAAACATGCATTCTTACCGTGAGTGGGCTCGCCTCTCCACTGATCTGACCTCTAACTTGACTCGTAGCGTCACTGCCTTGTTTCTGTGTACAAGGATAAGTGTGGAACATCAAGCAAAGCCACAACATCTCCGCGGAAACAAGCAGGCGATAAACAGACAGACGTTCCTCCAGAAAAGCTACAGAGTGCAGCTTTAACACAACAGAAATAGCAAAAATGTTAAAAGAAGTAAACTGGACAAAATGACAATAAAGTCTACCTTAAAAGAAGAAAAATTTTTGCGTGTTTACAAATAGGAGTGTGCAAAAATATCGAAATATTGTATTTATATTTATTTATTATTGTATTTATTGCATTTACTAAATTATTTTGTTACAGCGCTACAGTTTTTGTTGCTTGTTTAGTGGAAGGAAATTTGACATTTTCACAGTTTTGATGATAAAAATGTTTGTGTTTCATATGAACTTTGCACAAGAAGTGGTTTAACAAAGACTTTTAATATCACAGACATGATTTAGCCTTTACTTTTTATTGAACCGCATCGAATCGATTTGAAATATATCGTATCGAACAAAACACGCACTGTACCAAAAGAGGTATCATATCGTGACCTATGTATCGAGATATGTATCGTATCATAGCCTATGTATCAAGATATGTATCGTATCAAACCAAAAGTGCACTGTATCGGATATGTATCGTATTGTGGCCTATGTATTGAGATATGTATCGTATCTTAGCCTATTTATCGAAGTATGTATTGTATCGTGGCCTATGTATCGAGGTATGTATCGTATCGTAGCCTATGTATCAAGATATGTATCGTATCGTAGCCTATGTATCGAAGTATGTATCGTATTGTGGCCTATGTATCAAGATATGTATCGTATCGTAGCCTATTTATCGAAGTATGTATCGTATCGTGGCCTATGTTTCGAGGTATGAAGCGTATCAGCAACTTCTTAATGACACCCGACCCTATTTACAAATTAACCACATTATAATATTGTTTTCTATATTGTTACAGATTTCGATAAGTGAACAGAGGACAGAGACATGCCTCGTGGTCTGGGCAGTGGGAGCTCCTGTGATGGGACCAGCGGGGGGCGCTATGAGACCCCCTCCGCCTCAGAACTACAGAGGCTCATGTGGACCAAAAAGGGCGGCAGCAACAACCACATGGACGAAGTGTACCCCAGGATTTACATCGGAGATATGTGAGAGAAAATTATAATTGTTAAGACCAAAGCAAGCAGCAGTTTCATAATAATATAATAAAGTATTTTTAGGTCAATATAAAATTATGAAAAAAATAAGTGAAAGGAATCAAGAAAAGATTACAACAACAACAACAATTAAACAACAATTAACGGTGCTGTAGCTGAACTTCTTGAACAGTTTTTCCTCACTTAAATTATACATTTAGAGCTAGGAGTGTGCAAAAATATTAAAATATCAATATATATCGTATTGTTTGATGTGATGATACAGTATCGATATCGTGGATTGCTGTATTGATATATCGCCAAGAGTATTTTTTGGTATATTTTACTCAATTATTTTGTTACAGCTACAGTTTCGTTGTTTGTTTAGTGGAAGGAAACTTGTTTATGCGACACATTTGGCTTTTTTACTGTTTTGAGGGTTAAAATTGGTGAGTTTCATATTCACTTTGCACAAGAAGTGGTTTAAGAAAGACTTTTAGTATCACAGCCATGATTTAGCCTTTATTTTTTATTAAACCATTTTGAATCACTTTTAAATACATCGTATTGAATCCTATCAAATCGTAAGCTCACTGTATCGTATCTGCAACTTCTGAATGATTCTGAATGAACTTATTCACCGCAATTTTTAAGTTTTTAAGGACTTTTCACAACTTTCAGAGACCAGAGTAGAGTTTTCCTGTCACAGTGAAGCTAACAACAACTAGCTTGTTAATTGCGCACTTCCTGCTTGTCCAACAATACATTGTTTTTCTAATTATGACAGTTTTGCCATGGAGGTAAACCCATAAATCTATATCCATGGGTAAAACTAACATCAACTAGCGTGCTAACGTGTACTTCCTGATTATCCGACAATTTATTTATTTATTTATTTTAGATGACAGGCTTATTTTGACCTTAAGAACCGCTGTCAAAAACTGATACTAGGCCTTTAAAACCATTAATAATTACAGCTGCCACTGAACATCTTGGTTATAAAATGTGAAATTGCCCGCAAAATGTTACATATACATCTTTAAATTATTGCAGTCTTTGTAATTTACAACAGCAACCAATTTTTTTATACAATTTTGCAGCCTTAACTTGAACTTTAACCTTCTTGTTTGTATCCAGGTACGCAGCTAAGGACAAGAAAGGGCTGCAGTCTCACCTCATCACTCACGTCCTGAACGCGGCGGATGGTAAATACAACGTAAACACAGGAGCCAGTTTCTACAGAGACACACGGATCACGTATTTCGGAGTGGAGGCTTTTGACATGGCCAGCTTCGACATCAGCCCCTTCTTCTACCCGGCCGCCAACTTCATCAAGAACGCTCTCAGCTCCCCCACAGGTCTGTCTGCTTTTAGTCATGGGTTTTAACTTCATGTTTATAGGAGACATTTTGAGGACTTTTCAGACTTTTTACAAACTGTTTAAAGGATATCTCTAAGGTCTTGTGAGCTTTAAGCCAAGTTATACTGTTGTTAGCTCATCAAAAACAGACCTGGAGTTGTGTTTTGTTTCATTCACGCATGTTTGAGTAACCTCTTATTATCAGTTTGTCTACATCTCCAGAGCTCAAAATGTTCTGTTGCACCTTGTGATGTCATGAAGCGGTAGTTTTCAAGTTAACAGCTAGAATTTACTTTAAGTTCAGTAAAGATTGGCAATTCCAGGGCTGAAATTATCCAAATGATCCTAGTGAAGGTGTATGGAGTTTAAAAACACAGTCGAGCACTTCCTGTATTACCACATGACATCACAAGGTGGACCAGTGTGTTTTCTGCTTGAGAGAATAACTAATTTTAAATATACAGGATTTTTGTGTTAAATGTGTAAATAAAACAAAACACAACAGGGTGTTTGTGATGAAGAAACAACATTATAACATAGATCAGAAAATAGTGTAATATGAGCCATTTAAATTGGAAAACGCTATGGCGATGGCTGTAATTTGTCCCATACAGACCGGGTAAATACAGTACAAATATTTTAAGACCAAAATGATGACAGTTTTTCGATGTAAAGTCAACTGGAGTCAATGGGGCCAGACCCACCGCCATGCTCACTTCCTATTGCGGCAAGCGGGTTCACTATGTCCACTTATATATACAGTCTATGGTCTGATTGAAGGAAAGAAGGCGACCATCTCAGTAGTTTCTGTGTTAGTTATTATGCCTCTGTGTGTAATGCTACATGGGACTTGCCCTGCTTCATTTGACAGTGTGATATGTTAAACAGGGCCAGTGCAAGCAGCAGTAATCCCATACGGAAATACAGGCAATTATTCAACCTCCTCTCCTACAAACCAGGCCAAGATAAGAAAAACACGGATTACAGCGTCAGAAATATTATGCTGAACTTCACAGACACTCAGAAGTCATGCAGGTTTAATCCCCGAACAAGCAACAAATGAGACGTTTTTAGGAGAAATGTTAAAACTGTGTAAAATGAACCTTTGGGGGTAAATGATGCTTTGAAAGGATTTTAAAGAAAGTGACCTGGCATGAGGAATAAAGGCACACAAAATAATGGGTACTTGAGTAACTATTATGCTATACTACAAACACTACGAGTGCTACTTCTGCTTTTATCAGCTCCAGCTCCTTATTTAAAGGAGGGAGGTCTGCTGCCACGGAGAGGCTTGAATGTTCCTCTGTCTGGTTTTAAACATATAAGATGTATTTGATTACAGGTGTTTACATTGGTCAAAATGGCACTTTGTAACTTTTGGTGAGGATTTCTGCTATAAATTACAAAGTTTTAAGTTAACCTTTTGCAGCGAGATGGATTCCGGTGATATTTGTGAGTTTACAAACTCACAAGAATTCACTGTATGGTTAGTCGGGCAGTTGGATCAATCACGTCGCAGCTTTGAGTTTTATGCAGAAGCCAAAGGCAAAGTGCCCAAATGAACCAGAACAATGTTCCAGATTGATCATATGTAGAATTAAATTCAGAGTGACACACAAATTAATCTGGGGTGATCATGTTACCTTTAAGCATTTTCCATTGAAGACAAATGTCCCTCTGAGCTCTGTGTCCACGGTCCATCCCTGTGCTTCCTGTATTTGCAGGTAAAGTGCTGGTGCACTGTGCGATGGGCCTGAGCCGCTCCTCCTCTCTGGTTCTGGGGTATCTGATGATCCACGAGGGCCTGACTCTGGTGCAGGCGCTGAAGGCCGTCAGTGAAAACAGAAACGTCTCTCCCAACAACGGCTTCCTGGAGCAGCTCCGAGCGCTGGACTCCAAACTGAACTGTGGAGGAGTGCCCAGGCAGAACGGTCACAGCTGAAGTTACTGCTGCTGGAGACATTTCAGGAGAAATGATACGTTTGAGCTTTTGAACATATGTGATGACATTGTTCAAAAACATACCTGGAGTTTCATTTTGCTTGATTCCTGTTTACACTCTGTGAAGAGTGAGCAAAGAATTAGCTTTACCATTCCAATGTAAATGAACATTGACACTGGTCAGAATATTGTAAAATTAGTATTCATTTGCATTTTTTGCTAAATCTCTTTCTGGAAACTTGTAAATGTAAATGTTTTTGTTTTTGAATGCATTTATCAGATTGCTACATTTACATGCCACCATTAAAATGTCAAATTAAACTGCTTTTGTAATTGTTTTGCTGCCCTCTACTGGTGTCCACACTTTATTCATTTTTTGCATTGTTGATGACCAAAAAAGAAAAAGGTAAATACATTAAAAATAAAGTCTCTTTCTCATTGACATTCCAATCATTTAAGGTCAGACACTGCAGGTCAATAATGTTTTCATATTAAAATATAAGTATGTGCAAAAATATCCAAAGATACAAGTATTGCCAGTATGTAAATCTGAATATTGGTAGCACCAGGTAAGTAAGTAACTTCTCTTACACTGATACACACAGTTCAGAGGACAAAAGCTTGGTGGAGGGATAATATTAGCTGAGCAGATCAGTCTTAGAGCCTGGCTTCTGTCACTGAGAATAAAAATGTCTTGGTCACATGATCCGCTCTGGCATCTTCAGCTGTTTCTCTGCTGCATGAGAAACAAAATGGCCACCGCATGCTTGGACAGCCAACACAAGTGCAGGAAGATTTGATTTAATTTGACACACTTAAAGACTCTTTTTTTATTTATGGTTATTACATTATTTTTTGTTGGTCATAGATTTTTAAACAGGTGAAACTCTTATCCATTTATTCTGCACTTTGGACCAGCATTGGAGATTTTTTATTTTCTTTTTTATAACAAGCTTCATCCTTGCAATTCCAGCTAGATTTGAAACTGTGAAACTATATTTTTGTCCGGCAAGTTAGTCCAAAAGCTACTAAGGCATTTTTTGGGTATGGGAGGAGAGGGGGAGGAGCCATATGAAGCCCCGCCCCTCAGCGCTCTCCTGGACGTCCTACTGAAGAACAGACACAACACTGGACCCGTGAACCTGGTCTGGCCCGGACTCTACCTCAGCAACGCGTAAGAGAAGACCGATTTACAGCTTTATCATTGGCCAAACTTTAAAGGCACACTATGTAACTTTTATAGAGGGTCCACCACCTGCTTGTCTCCATGGAGATGTGTCATGTTATTACTTTGAATTACTATATCCTGCATAAAATGGCATTCTTACTGTTGCAACGATCTGACTTGAAACTTGGCAAAGTGGCATCACCTGCTTGTCACCATAAAGAACAAGTTTAATGCCATATTGTGGAACATTCCAGGCAAAGAAATTACATCTCTAGTATAATAGTTACATAGTACACTGCAAAGAAGAGAAAAAGAAAAGTTGAGATGACTTGATTTCAATATTTTTTAGATTATTTTCAAATTTTTCTTCTTTATATGCCAATATTACATTAGTGTTTTAGTCCAGAGTGCACTAATCGAGACCAAGACCAGTCCAAGACCAGGACAAGACCAGGACAAGACCAGGACAAGACCAGGACAAGACCAGGACAAGACCAGGACAAGACCAGTCCAAGACCAGGACAAGACCAGGACAAGACCAAGACAAGACCAAGACAAGACCAAGACAAGACCAGGACAAGACCAGGACAAGACCAGGACAAGACCAAGACAAGACCAGGACAAGACCAAGACCAGACAAGACCAAGACAAGACCAAGACAAGACCAAGACAAGACCAAGACAAGACAAGACCAAGACCTCTGTGATTCAAGACCAAGACAAGACCAAGTCTTTTAAAGGTCGAGACCAAGACAAGACCAAGACCACAGCCCATCGAGACCAAATGAAGACCATCTTTGACATTATTCTGGCAGATATATATAAATATTTTTTTTAATAAATCTACCTCCATTTAATCTGATTAATGTTCATTTAAGATTAATATAGGCCAAGCAAACTATACTGCATTTAAACACTTCGTGGAGTTTGTGCCTCTTCACATTTACCGGCTGTAGTGGAATATGATTGCACTTGTCGAGTGTTAGACCTCGAGTCCGAGACAAGACCAAGACCAAGCACCATCAACACCGAAACAAGACCAAGTCCAAACAAGCTCAAGTCCGAGATGAGACCAAGGCTGTAAAAAAGCCCAGTCTTGAGTAATACAACACCATATTAAATATTGTAGAACAAATAAGATCCTTGTCAGTAAACTGAACTAGTTCAAACTATGAAGATTCAACATTTCCATCCAAAAGATATTCACTTTTTACAGAAGTTGTGAACATAAGTCTTATAAGTTGACAATTTTTCAAAAGGCTGCACCTTATGGAACTGAGATAAAATGCAGATAATTGCACATTTGCAGAGATGAAACTGGAATTAAACTGGATGTAAATGAAGCATCAATATTTCTTTTCAAAACAGTAGAAAAGAACTGTAGTATTTTGGTATAACTCCACTGTACCTGTGTGTTTGTAGGTCTGCGGCTCAAGACAAAGTTCTCCTCCAGGATTTGGGAGTGACCCACATCGTGAACGCTGCACACGGCACGCAGCGCATCGACACTGGGCCTGGTTACTACGGCGACACAGGTGTGGCGTACCTGGGCGTGGAGGCGGACGACAGCAAAGACTGCGACATCAGCATATTTTTCTGCGAGACGGCGGAATTCATTGACTCTGCACTAACACAAAATGGTGAGAAAGATACAGGGACAGTATGATCAGAGTGAACATTGTGAAGGCGTATGAACTTTAAAAACACAAAAGAGACAGGATTTTCACCTGACAACATCCCGCAGTTGGACCATAGGTGGAGTTTGTGATGGTCAGGGGTGGCACTGCCCCACCTAGTGGCTGAAATATGTCACAACATTGAGTCTATAATATGGCCAATACAAATATTTAGTTTTAAAAAATGTATTAATATTTTAAATATGTCAATAAAACTAAAAGATTGTATGAAATAAATATGAATCCTAGTCTGAACCAGGACTAAACCAGGACTAAACCAGGACTAAAACAGGACTAAAACAGGACTAAAACAGGACTAAACCAACCAGGACTAAAACAGGACTGAACCAGCCAGGTCTAAACCAGGTCTAAACCAGGACTAAAAACAGGACTGAACCAGGTCTAAACCAGGTCTAAACTAGGACTAAAACAGGACTGAACCAGGTCTAAACCAGGACTAAAACAGGATTGAACCAGTCAGGTCTAAACCAGGCCTAAACCGGGTCTAAACCAGGACTAAAACAGGACTAAAACAGGCCTGAACCAGGTCTAAACCAGGTCTAAACCAGAATTAAATGAGGACTAAACCAGGACTAATCTTGTACTTGAGAGAGAGAGGGAGAACCTTGATCCCGTGGAGCAGGGTGTTTGCAAAGCGCGATGGGCGACGGCTGCGCTGAGCCCCGTGGGTCACGGAACTCTGCACCGGTCCTTTCTCTCACACTCCCCCGACGGTTTAAGCGGGGCGCACCTCCGAGCCCGTCCTGACACTCAGTCCTGATTCAGTTCTGGTTTAGTCCTGTTTTAGTCCTGGTTCAGTCCTGGTTCAGTCCCGGTGGTGTACCCCAGCGTACCACACCCACTACACCCTGATCATGTGTGATGTGCTGTGTAGTTTGGCTTTACATGATGTGCCATTTATTTATGAGCTTTTATGTGTAATCACATTATAACTATTCTGTGTAATGTCACAGAATAATTATAATGTACAGCAGTGTGGACAGTAAAGTGATCACTTCATTGTACAGGGCAAGGCGTTTCCTTACTGTGCACATGACAATACACACTTTAAATCTTGAATCTAGTGTGTATGTTAAAATGTTTGCCCCCCATAGCACAAAAGTCAAACTCCACCTAACGTAAAAGTAGATTGTTTGGATCAGAGTTCAGACTGATGGGGGAAAAAAATGTGTTAATTAAATTCCACTGACTAAAAGTGCCATTGATATAATTAACAATGAGGTTTCATGCACTCTCAAAATCTGATTCACAGATTTTTGGGGTTATAAAACTATTTTAAATGAAACATAAACAGCTTGTAGATTGCAGCTTGTATGAAGAAATATGTTTTTTACTTGAATTCTTGGGATTATGACGGAACTAATTCACACCAAAATCTTATCAAGGTTTTTTAAAGCAAAAAAAGTGTCCTATCTACAATTATATTCTTCTCTTCTTCAAAATATCACAATAAATATCATACCATGAGATGCATATTGTGATAATATCATACCGAGATTTGGATATTTGTTCCATACCTACTGTTTATTTTTTGGCCAGCCTAGTTTTGGATGTGAAAACATTCAAATAATTAATAATAATGAGTAAAAAAGAAACAGCTTAGCCCAAGGACTGTATGACACTTATGAAAAACGATGAAGCTGTATTTTTATTTCAGTTCAGCATCTCTTGGTTTGGTTTTGAGGTGATGTTTTTTTCTGTTAATGACTTGCTTTGCCCACAAACATTTTTAAGTGTGTTTTACCGTCTCATCGGGGGGAAGAGGTGGGCCCAGGTTTCGCGTGGTGTCGTGTTCGGAGGTGTGCGTTGTAAAGATCAGATGTCCCCTGTTGTATGTCACAGGTGTGGTCCTGGTTCACTGTGCGCGTGGGGTCAGTCGCTCCGCTGCTCTGGTCCTGTCCTTCCTCATGATCAAACGTGGACTCTCTCTGATGGAGGCGCTGCACACGGTCCGAAAACACAGGAACATCCTCCCAAACGCGGGGTTTCTCAACCAGCTACGCCAACTGGACACTTCACTGCACCAACACAGGACTGAAGGATCAGAATAACACAATTTAAAAACTCAGAAGGAGTGAGAGCATCAGACAAAAAAAACAAAAAACAAACAGCACATGTTTATAAGAAAGGTTAAAATGGGATAAGAAGCTGCGTATAAGTTTTATGAATTATTTACAAAAAAAAAAAACACAGAGTCTGGGCAGGTCCAAAATAAGTGAGAGGTGGTTTTTTCATTTTTCAGTTCATAAAATGTACAGTTTGTGTCCATTGCCCTTCTGAGATGATTCTTTAGTGCACAGGTGTCAAACATGCGGCCCGGGGGCCAGATCCGGCCCTCCAAGACCTTTAATCTGGCCCTTGGCTGATTTTCTACTAAAATATTTTAATTCTATTTTGTATTAAAATCTTGTTAATTTTCTGTGGTGTTTATCACAGCAGCGTCTCCAGCGTCCCTGTACGTGGCCCCTCCCACCAGAGCAGCACAAATGAAGACTTGTCTCTTTCCAAACGCTCTTAAAGGACGATCGTTTTGACTGTTGACCGTGACACCCTCATCAGAAAAATGTCCAACATGAGAAAAGTGGAGCTGAGTGCAGGATTTTACAACAAAAATGTACTTATTCCTATTTCTACAAGTTAATTTTAAACAAGTTCATGTTCAAACTTTGTGTTGAAATTGTATTTTTCTTAAAGTTTCAGGTTGTTCATAATATTATAATATGTTGTAAAAGAAAGAGTTCATCAATTAAAAAAGATTTCTGTAGTAGATTTGTGTTTCTCTGCACAAATATTTGAACTTATTGTTATTTTTGGGGTTTATATGACATGAGTTTTCTGATCCGGCCCCTTTGGGATTAAAGTGGGTTGGATACGGCCCCCGGACCAAAATGAGTTTGACACCTCTGCTTTAGTGGATAACAGTGATGTGGAAGTTTGTAGCAGATTTCCCTTTGCTTATTGATTGATGAGATATATGTCCAAACATTTTTCCATGGAATATTGTCAATAGTCCGGCTGCTGACAGTGCACGAGTAGGGCTCTGTTTGGGAGGTGCACTTGTGGTGATAGTCGCTCTTTTTCTGCGGCGATTCATTATAGGGCAAGTTTAATTAAAGATGAAGCCAAGTAAGTTCCTTTTGATGTGTTTTTCAAAGTTTGCTGCACAGCGTTTTCACTCACGCTGCTCAAGCCGACATCTTCGGGTGCTGTAACTGTTCTGCCGCTTCCCCAGTTTAGACTCCTGATTCCACTAATGACATCACTCTGTTGCAGCCAATGAAACAGCGGCAGGAGTAACCCTGTCGTCATATCACTGAATACATCTCAGAACGTCTAAGAAACAAACTGTGAATTAAAACACGTTTAATTAATACTATTGAGTCTGGAAATATATTGAAATAAATTAATATTTTTGCTTATTAAAATAAAATGTCAAATATTGGTAGGGATTATTTTGTCTTCCCCATATATTGGTTGTGACATGTCCCCACTGTCCCTAAGCAAACTTATGCCCTTGATCTAAAGCCAACAAATAGTGAAGATGACCTTGCTTATAGTCAGTGTTGGGGAGTAACAGATTACAAGTACTGGAGTTATGTAATCAGAGTACAAATTATGAGTAACTGTATTCAGTTACAGTTACTGTTTCAGTGAGTTTGTTGAAATAAATGGATTACACAGTGGTATTTTCCTGTTTTCATATTTTGGGCTAAACCAGGACTAAACCAGGACTAAACCAGGACTAAACCAGGATAAACCAGGACTAAACCCAGGACTAAACCAGGACTAAACCCAGGATTAAACCAGGATTAAACCAGGATAAACCAGGACTAAACCAGGACTAAACCCAGGACTAAACCAAACTAAACCCAGGATTAAACCAGGACTAAACCAGGACTAAACCCAGGACTAAACCAGAACTAAACCCAGGACTAAACCAGGACTAAAACCAGGATTAAACCAGGACTAAACCAGGATTAAAACCAGGAGTAAAACCAGGACTAAAACCAGGTCTAAAACCAGGACTAAAACCAGGACTAAACCGGGACTAAACCAGGACAAAACCAGTACTAAAACCAGGATTAAACCAGGACTAAACCAGGATTAAAGTCAGGTCTAAAACCAGGACTAAAATCAGGACTAAACCAGGACTAAAACCAGAAGTAAACCAGGACTAAACCAAGACAAAAAAACAGGACTAAACCAAGAACCAGGATTAAACCAGGACTAAACCAGGATTAAAACCAGAACTAAAACCAGGACTAAACCAGGATTAAAATCAGGATTAAAATCAGGACTAAACCAAGAACCAGGATTAAACCAGGACTAAACCAGGATTAAAACCAGGACTAAAACCAGGACTAAACCAGGATTAAACCAGGACTAAACCAGGATTAAAACCAGGACTAAAACCAGGACTAAACCAGGATTAAACCAGGACTAAACCAGGATTAAAACCAGGACTAAAACCAGGACTAAAACCAGGTCTAAAACCAGGACTAAAACCAGGATTAAACCAGGACTAAACCAGGATTAAAGTCAGGTCTAAAACCAGGACTAAAACCAGAAGTAAACCAGGACTAAACCAAGACAAAAAAACAGGACTAAACCAAGACTAAACCAGGACTAAATCCAGGACTAAAACCAGGACAATATCAAGTAATCCAAAGTATTCAGATTACGTTACTCACTTTAAGTCATTTAATGGATTCTGTTACAAACTACATTTTGGTGTATGTAATCTGTAATCTGTAGGGGAATACATTTTTAAAGTAAACCTTCCCAACACTGACTATAGTATAAAAACTTGATTGTGACAGAATAAAAAAGCTGTCAAAAAAGTCTGAGGCTCTTTGTTGGAAATATTATAAAAGTCCTTTATTGGTTAAAATGGAACATCAATTTTAACTTGTGTAATATTGTTTTGTTTTCTTGTTTACTTGCTCAAATACACAGGACAGACTTTCTTACTGGGACAATAGCTTCAGCTCTGTTTGTGATGAGGGAACAACATTGTAACATGAGAAATAGCGTAATACGGGCCATTTAAACATGCATTTTTTTTTAGATGTCAAAGAGCTCAAAGCACGATTTAAAAAAAAAAAAAGAGGACAAAATAGGACATTATGATTATTAAATACAAATTCAATTCCCACTTGACACAGGCAGCCGCAGCTTTAAATAAAGATGTATAGGATGTCACGTATGTGTTTCTTATCTGTCTGAGTGATGGAGATGAGATGAGAGACAGACAGGGAGAGGAACGGGGGGTTTTGAGGATGTGAAAATGCAGTGTGAGCAGTTTCCTCATATACACTCGATTACAGCTCCCAGCAGCAGCAGCAGCAGCAGCCTCCAGCGCACACCCGAGCCATGTGTGAAAACCTGTCTGACAGATACGTTTTACCTGTGAAGCTGCAGAGGATGTGACAAAAATAGGTCGCAAAAGGCGCTGTCGAAATAATCCCGTGTTATTTCTTCGCCTAGAATGTTCCACAGTATGGCATTAAACTTAGCACATCTGTCTAATGCGTGTTTTTCAAGGGATTTTTGAGCGATAAATACAACGGTGATGAAGTTTAAAGGTCCTATATTACGCAAAATTGACTCTTGTGAGCTTTAAGATGTGTTATGATGTTCTTTGCTCATCAAAAAAAAAAAAAAAAACAGACCTGGAGTAAATGGTGTAATGCAGGAAGTTTAATGCCGTAATGTCGAACATTTCAGGCAGAGCAATAATTTCTCCATGGAGTCAAAAGGAGAATGTTTAAATCTTCATGTTCTACAGTTTACCCGAGTTTGACTTTTAGAGGAGACAGGAGAGAGAGAGAGAGAGAGAGAGAGAGAGAGAGGAAAGAGGGGAGGGGAGAGGGAAGAGAGGAGAGAGAAAGAGGGAGAGGAGAAGGGGAGGGAGGAAGAAGGGAGGGGGAGAAGAAGAGAGAGGAGAGAGAGAGGGAATGAGAGGGGAAAAAGAAGAGAAGGAGAGAGAAAGAGAGAGAGGAGAGAGAAGAGATGAGAGAGGAGAGAGAAAGAGGGAGAGGAGAGAGATGAAAGAGGGGGAAGAGGGAAGAGAGAGGAGAGAGAAAGAGGGAGAGGAGAGAGGGAAGGGAGAGAGAAAGGGAGGGGGGAGAGGAGAGGGAGAGGAGAGGGAGGGAGAGAAAGGGAAAAGAGAGGAGAAAGAGAGAGAGGGAAGAGAGAAGAGAAAAAAGAGACAAGATGGGGGAGAGGATAGAGAGGAGAGGGGGAGAGAGAGAGAAGAGATGGAGTGGAGAGAGAGTGAGGAGAGAGAGGAGAGTGAAAGAGGGAGAGAAGAGAGAGTGAGGAGAGAGAGGAGAGAGAAAGAGGGAAAGGGGAGAGAGGGCGAGATAAAGGAGAGAGAGGAGAGAGGGGAAGAGGGGGAGAGAGAGAGAGAGAGAAGAGAAAGAGGAGAGAGAGAGAGAGAGAGAGAGAGAGAGAGAGAGGGAGAGGGAGAGAGAGGAGAGAGAGGAGAGAGAGAGAGTAGAGAGAGGGATGAGGGAAGACAGAGGTGAAAAGACGGAGAGAGAGAGAGAAAGAGGAGAGGGGGAGAGAGAGAAGAGATGGAAAGGAGACAGCGCAAGGACAGAAGCGGAGAGGGAAGAGAGAGAAGAGAAAGAGGAGAAGAGAGAAGAGAAAAAGAGAGATAGGAGAGGGGGACAGGAGAGAGAAGAGAGGGAGAGAAAGAGGGAGAGAGCAGAGAGGGAGAGGAGAGAGAGAGAGGGGGGGAGTGGAGCGAGGACAGAGGAGGGGGGAGAGGGTAACCTAAAAATATCTCCTGCTTTTCACGTCTCACACGAGCTCTGCGATATTCCAGCCCCGGATACGACCACAACAGCTACAGGCCGTGTCCTGAAATCAAAAATCCTCCTCCACCGCAAAAACAAACCTTCAACTGAAAATGAAGAGACGTGATCCGAGGGTGAGTCCCGCATCTGACAACACAACAAATCATTAAAAACTACTGAATAAAATAAACCAAAAGTGAGATACGAATACAGATCAAGCTCATTCTAACTCTTCAATAACTATAAAACTACCGAGGAAATGTCTAAATGTGCCTCAGTTTCTCTACCCTCACCAGCACTTGATATTGAAGGGTATTTTTTGAGGTATTTTTTGTCTTTTTGTGTCCAATTTGTGTATTATCTTTAGTATTACCTGCTCAAATTACTACCTATTTAATTTGTAGAGTTAGTTTGGATTAATGTCTGCATAATTCAAACAGCAGATACCACAGAACTTTATGTGAAAATAGAAACTACACAGATATAATATGTGATAAAGATGTATTATTACCGGATTTGAATCATAGGATGTGTTAAAGGTGCACTGTGGGTCCGCCATTTGTTTGTCTTTATGGAGATAGATAAGTTTAATTACCCAGACTGGTGCCACTTAGTGCCTCCGCTCAATTTCATTTCTCTTCAGCAACTAGGTCAGGAATCAGAATACTCTAGATGGTTTACAAAAACCCCGGAAGTTGTAGACCAAGGACTGGCCAATCAGTGAAGAGCTGTGAAGTCATGACGTCAAACTCAAGTGTCTGTCTGGGTCCATTTTGTGGATCAGCACAACAGTAAATAAAGCGGTCGAGATGGATGTAGACGAAGACAGACATTCTGTGTTGGCAACGATTCCCGAGATCGAGGATTTAAACCCGGAACAAAGAGAATATTTGGTGAATTTTATCAAGGGGAAAGACGTTATTGCCCTTCTTCCTACGGAATTACATTACATTATATACGTCACGACCAAATAGCAGCAATTTAAATTAAAAAAGTACCCTGCCTACCGTCAAGCAAACGAATCCTAATGCTGTGAGATCAGACGGTTTCCACAAAGATGAATGATGAATCAGGATAAAATTTAATGCCATATTGTGAAACATCTTGATGAAGACAAATACTATATGTGACACCTCCAGGCCAATTTACAGGTCAGATCTGTGGAGAGGCAAGCTCACTCAGAGCAGAAACGCATGCTTTTCAAAGGTATTTATAGATCAAATCAAACTTGGAGCGAAAACTGAGACTAAACCAGGACTAGATCAGAACCGAACCGAAGTTTACATCATAGTTAAACTGGACTAGTGTGAATGAAATCCTTTAGAGATCTGTGGAGAGGCAAGCTCACTCTCAGCACAAACACATGCTTTTCAAGGTATTTTGGGCGGCAGTAGCTCAGTTGTCGTTGTTCGTCCACTGATCTGAAGGTTGACGAATCCCACTCTCGACATCAACATCAAGGGTTGAGCGGTTACAATCCAGATGAATGCTGTTGTTGTGTCCTTGGGCAAGACACTTAACCCACCTCGCCCCAGGGTCTGCATACACTGGTGTGTGAATGTGTGACTGGTTCATTGTTGTAAAGCACTCTGAGTGACTTTAAGGTGGAAAAGTGCTATTAAAAAAATGACCATTTACCGTCTGTGAACAATCAAAACACCTGTAATTGAGTTAACGTAGGAGATAGATGACTTTAATGCCATACTGTGGAACATTCTTGGCAAAGCTGTAACATCATGAGACAAATAGCTGGCGACCCTACACCAGAAAAGTTACACATTGCAACTTTAACAGCAGTAAGGTGTCTGAACTTGCACGTTTATTTGGGGTTTTTTCTCTTTCAGGTAACACTTTCACTGTAGCGTTGTGGTGATAAAATGTCTTGTAAAAAGTCAAAGTTTGGTTTGAAGTCGCCCCCAGTGGAGGAAGAGGAGGAATATGTCACTCCAGGAGGATACGAGCTGGAGAAGATCTTAAACCGCGGCTCTGTGGCCTACACCCACGTCAATGAAGTTTGGGACAATGTTTATATAGGAGACGAGTGAGTACGCAGGCAAATATAGAGACGAATATTACAAGAAAATAATACAAATCTATAATACAAAAATATCTTAAAAGGTGCATTGGTCCCTCACTTGCATGTCTTCTGGGAAATGTTATTGCCTTGTCTAGAAGGTTCCACTGTAAAGATTAAACCATCTATTTAAAGGAGACAACTATGGGCTACATTATAGGTCAGATCTGTGGAGAGTTATCCCTATTTACAGAGAGAATTATTGTATTCTGAGCAATAGAAACACCTGTAATGGATAAATGCTACAAAATGGATGTGTTTAAAGTTTTGGAGACGTGTGGAGACACTTTTTTAAATATTCCATCCAGTCCTTGTATTTGCAGAGGTCGCTGGTGCTAGGCTAGTGCATCTCAATGGCCATAGTTAGCCTGCCATTAAAAACAGTCTTACCCACTCCACAAAACACTCGAAGCAAATCTATTATTACACCAGACTGTCAATGTAAATGTCTGTGTTGATAGAATCATGTTTGAAATAAAACTAACCTTGCATTTGAAGGATTTAATGTCTGAGCTTGGCAGTGGCGGACTGATATGTGAGAAAATAGTCCCTCAACATGTGACGATTCATGCGATGCAAGTCAAGTTTTATTTCAAACATTATTCTATCAACACAGACATTTACATTGACAGTCTGGTGTAATAATAGATTTGTTTCAGGTGTTTTGTGGAGTGGGTAAGACTGTTTTTAGTGTCAGAATAACTATGACCATTGACATGCACTAGTCTAGCACTAGTGACGTCTGCAAATACAAGGACTGGATGGAATATTTTAAAAAGTGTCTCCACACGTCTCCAACACTCTGACTCACTAGAAAATGATGCCTTATGTCCAAAATTCCGAACTGTCTCTTTAATGTTCTACCATGAATCATTCCAGACAAAGTAATAACATCTCCATGGAGACAAACAGGTGACAGTCGCTTCGCCAGAAAAGTTGTACCTTTAAATTATTGAGTGAAACTATTTCTAAAATGTTTTAAAATAGCAAAATAATGGTGGTTGCTAAGAAGTTGTAGATTATAAAAGTGTATTTTTCATTTAAAACATACAATAAATAAAGAAAAAATTATTATAAGCAAATAATTTCCATGGAAGTTTATTTATAAAACTGATTTAATTGCTGAATATTATAAAATTTGCACATGTTCAATAGGTAAATGGTTCAGTTCCCACTACAAATGCATGCTGTCATTGTGCCCTTGAGCAGGACACTATTGCCTTACAGAAAAACATTGTAATATGCTATAAAACTATTAGTAATTCATCACAGATACTTGTATTTTCAGGGAGACTGCGAGGGACAAGTACAAGCTGAAGGAGCTCGGGATCACTCACATTCTGAACGCGGCCGAGGGGACGTGGAACAACGTGGACACGGGAGCCGGTTACTATAGCGACATGGACATTGTTTATTATGGTGTGGTCGCCGAGGACACCACGACCTTTGACCTGAGCCAGTACTTCCACTCGGCGGCCAGCTTCATCGACAAAACTCTGAGCGATCCGCAAAGTAAGAAGACGCACGATCTCATAGACCGAATCAAACTTGGGATGAAACTGAGACTAAACCAGGACTAGACCAGAACCGAACCAAGTTTACATCAGAATTAAACTGGACTAAAGTGTGACTGAAGCTCTTTAGAGTTGAATCATCTACTCATATTATTGTATTTATTTATTTTCAACATCAGTATGTATATGGCCATCAGATGTTTGATTTTAATTTTGTTTTTTAAATTATATTTATTCATTTATTTATTTATGAGACAGTGACAGTGCACAATATACATTAACCTTAACAGGAGAGATGCATTTTCAAATGTGTACATTCAGGTAAGGCAGATTTTAAATGTGAGAAAGAATGTTTATTTGTTTGATAGGCTTTTTTAAAATTGTACTTATCTAAAACATTAAATACATTTGTTATTTTATTGTTACAACACTGTAATTTTCTCAATTATAACTCCAGAATGAACTGACTTAGGGTTACGTTGGAGATCTGTAGACCTCGGGATTTTTGTCCAATAAGGGAACAACAAAGAGCCTCCCATTTATCTTATTTATCTTATTTCTTTTTGTGAAAAATTCCTCAGGTGTTCAGGTAGAATTCATGGCAAAAGAGAAATTCAATTTGTCAACTGGAGAAATGTTTTGCCGTTCATCCAAGCTGCTCCTTCAGTTCTGGTCAGACGCTGGTGGACACTTCCTTATATCTGTCTGCAGGGAGGAGCTAACTACACTGAAACTACTCTGGAACTAACACATCTACTTGTTTACAGTTTCTGTTTGTTAGCTTGGCCTGTTGAACTTGCACAGAGTGTAGGGTCATATTAACAAAACCATTCAGAGCCATAATGGAGCTTTCACACCTCTGGACCTGACGTGACCACAGCTATTGTTCTCTTCTTTGTTTTGATTTAGGTTTGAGGAGATAGATGATGTCTGAGGCCTCCATTTCTGTTTAGAGAAGGATTATTTCTTAACAAAGACAGCTTCTTAAACTCCCCATTCAAACAAATTCTTTTCTCTGGCTCAGATTTGTACCTCACTGTCCTCAAAAGAGTGGCCCGTGGCTTTTAGGTGGAGATGTACAACAGACTGAGGTCCACACAGACGAGAGAGCTGCAGTGGACCTCAGAGTAGTTATTTAACTCCTCCCTTCAGACAAATATAAGGAAGTGTCCACCAGTGTTTGACCAGAACTGAAGAAGCAGCGTGGATGAGCGGCGAAACATCTTCAACCAATAAACTTTCCTCCAGTTGACAAATTGAACTTCTCTTTTGCCACGCGTCTTTTTCTCTTTACATAGTTTATTTAGATATTTGATAAATGATGAATTCCACTATGTTCAAACAAGAATCAATAGATGCTGTACCTGAAGGCAATTATTTTGAATTTCCAATCATGAATATTATCTTCAAATCCGTAATTCCCATGATCTCATTTTTATGTCCAGATAAGCTGCTGGTGCACTGTGTGATGGGCAGGAGCAGATCGGCCACTCTCTTTCTGGCTTACCTCATGATCTGCAGACACATGACGGTGGTGGACGCCATAGAGACGGTGAAAAAACGCAGACGCATCATTCCCAACTGGGGCTTCCTCAAACAGCTGAGAGAACTGGACATGCAGCTACAGGAGACGAGGCTGGAGCAAAGTGAAAAACCATGACAAACCACTGAACAAGGGACTGAATGTTAGTGTGTGTAATATAGTAGAGGTACAATTAGGGTTAAGCGATTTGCAAGAAACTTAAACGTTGAGCCGGATCGCAATTTCAACTATGTAAACTTAGTAAACCATCTTGAAGAGGTAACAAAAGTAATCTGCTTCTTCCTTGGTTAAATTCCACCTGTCACTTAAAATATTGCTGAGATCGATGGGAAAAAGTGACTTTGTTTGAGGATGCTGATATTTCTAGTGTGTTATTACTTTGCCTGGAATGTTGTACAGTGTGGCATTAAACTTAATCTCCACAGAGACAAGCAGGGCCAAATTACAGGTCAGATCTGTGGAGAGTAGACCCCAATCATGTGGGTTTCTCAAGGTATTTTTGAGCAATAAAACACCTGTAATTGAATGAAAGAAATTGAATGTCTGATTTTGTAGCATTAGGATTCATTTGCTCGATGGTAGGCGGGTACTTTTTTTTATTTAACCCATCACTGCTATTTGGTCGTGATGTATGTAATGCGCCGCTAACGGGACTAACTGGTATATTAAGCTTTTCCCAAATCCCGTAGGAAGAAGGACAATAACGTCTTTCCCCTTGATAAAATTCACCAAACTTTCTATTTGTTCTGGCTTTAAATCCTCGATCTTGAAAATTGTTGCCAACACAGAATGCACGGCTCTTCGCTGATTGGCTGGTGGTCGAACTCTCACTTCCGGGGTTTTTGCAAACCGTCTAGTCCAGACATGTCAAACTCAGGCCCGGGGTCCAAATTTGGCCCATGATATAATTATATTTGGCCCGCGAGATCATATCAAACTTGTATAAGAGCTGAGATAGGCTATAGAAACATTATTTATTTAAAATTTGTATTATACTTGTTCTGGATTCAATGTTTAAGTAAAACTATTATTAAACATTTATTTTAATAAGAAAATGTTTAACATTACATATCTCAAAAGAAGAGAAAATATGCAGATGTTGTTGAAATGTTTTAATAAATATTTAGTTTGACCCACGACTTAGTCCAAGTTTTTAATTTTGACCCTGTGTGAATTTGAGTTTGACACCCCTGGTCTAGTGTATTCTGATTCCTGACCTATTCGCTGGAGAGAAATGAAATTGAGCGGAGGAGTGGAACATTTCCAGGCAAAATCATAACATCTTCATGGAGACAAGCGCCGTAAAGTTTTGAGAAATGACAGTCTGGCGTAAACATTTTGAATTCTTCTGCGGTCTATTTGTGTCTCGTGTCGGATTTGTGCATGTTCGACTCTCAACACTGTATTCAAAGAAGAGGAATCAGGTACATGGTCAATCATAATTTATTCTTATGCTAAAATGTACAGCATTTATGTGACTGACAAAAGGAGAAAAGTCATAAATACAAGTCCATTCTGCGTGTGCACAAACCCAGGTTGTTCCGGCCTCCTGTCCTCCGCTCTCTGTACAGTACAAAGGCTACAAAAGAGCAGGATTCTTATTAGAAACAGAAACACAGGGACAAGCTGCGTTTTACATGCAAATCCGTTAGCTTAATTTGGTCTATTCACAGGCCTCTACTCTTCGGTAAAATATAAACATTTTATAAAGATAGAAAACAAATCTACAGATGGAATGAAAACGTAGCTTTGAAGGCATTATGTAAAATATCGACTTTGGGCTAAATATTATATACTTTTAAATTCTGCCACACGTTTTTAAGAGTACAAACACTGCGATATGCTTTTGACATATTTATTTAACAGGAAGCTGCCTCTGTTACAAAAAGACTTCAGTTTTATACACATAGCGATAAAACTTCTCCAACTGAACAAAACAGGACTAAGTTTACATTTTATACATTATTAGAATTAACAAAATATAGTTTAATCTTTCATCCCCGTGATAGGGAAAACCTAATAAAGGCCAGATACTCTTTAAAATGGCTTGCTATTAGCACAACACTTGTACAGTACTACTCAATGCACTGCCACTAACATAGACCGAAGCATGCTAGTCGTCACTTTACAAAATAGGTACAATAATTTAAATATACAAAGGCAATGAGTATAGTACAAACTGTCAGACAGAGGACACGGGGCACACAGCCATTGGACCAGGCACATTTCATGGCTTCTTCATAGGCTGCTACTGAACCCCCTATGGCTATGTCCACACTAATGAACTTTAACATTTACAAAAATAAACTTTTCTTCTTTTTTTTTTTTTCATTTTGATTTGAAAAATTCTGGGTTTTCATATTGCACTTTGATCACATGATTGCAGATTAAAGTGATTGATAAAGCTCACTACTGTGACGATGTGTATATGTGTGAGTGTGTGTGTGTGTGTTGGCAATTTCCACCCGACGTTGGATGAATGAAAAAGAAACAATGAGAATACTTAATTTCAGACTACACTTCATTCATTAGTAATTACTATGCAATAACGAGCTTAAGCAACTGTAATAACGTGAATTATTACGAAGGGAGATTTGAGTAGGCCTATTTAATGATGATTTTTAGGGACAGGTGCAATAGAAAAACAGTTTGGGTGAATGAAAAAGAATTAAAAAAAAAACTTAATTTCATACTACACTTCATACGTTGTTGTGTTCAGTGTAATTACTATGCAATAACCAACTGTAATAACGTGAATTATTACAAAGGGAGATTTGTGTAGGCTTATTTAATAATTTGAAGTGAAATAAAAAATAAAAATAAAACTTGGGGATGAATGAAAAAGAAACAAAGAGAATACTTAATTTCATACTACACTTCATTCACTAGTAATTACTATGCAATAACGAGCTTAACCAACTGTAATAACATGTGAATTATTACAAAGTGGGATTTGTGTAGGCCTATTTAATAATTTCAAGTGAAAAAAAAAAAAAACAAAAAACTTGAGGATGAATGAAAAGAATCAAAAAGAATACTTGATTTCATTCTACACTTCATACATTACTGTTTTCACTGTAATTACTATGTAATAACAAGCTTAACCGACTGTAATAACATGTGAATTATTACGAAGGGAGATTTGTGTAGGCCTATTTAATGATGATTTCTAGGGTCACGTGCAATAGAAGAACAGTTTGGGTGAACGAAAAAGAATAAAAAAATATTTAATTTGATACTACACTTCATACATTGTTGTGTTCGGTGTAATTACTATTTAACAACCAACTGTAATAACATGAATTATTGTTTAGTGGAATCTGTGTCGGCCTATTTAATGATTTTAAGTGAAATACATTTTTTTTTTTTTTTAAACTTGGGGATGAATGAAAATAATCAAAAAGAATACTTAATTTCATTCTACACTTGATACATTGTTGTTTTCAATGTAATTACTATGTTATAACTATATTAACCAACTGTAATAACATGTGTAGGCCAACTTAATGATGATTTCTGGAGACAGGTGAATCAGAAAAAATCTAAGAGAATACATATTTTGATACTACACTTTCACTGTTGTGTAATTAATATGTAACGACCTAATTAACCAATTGCAGTAACACACTTATTAATAATAAATATTGAATTTAATTGAATTATTACACAGTGGGACTTGTATAGGCCTACTTAGTGATGATTTAGAGAGGCAGGTGCAATAGAAAAACATATTGGATGAATGAAAAAGAATAAAAGAATACTTAATTTCATTCTATACTTCATACATTGTTGTGTTCAATGTAACTACTATGTAACAACCATCTTAACTAACTGTAATAACAAGTGCATTATTATTACAAAGTGGGATTTGTTTACTGCGGTTTCTAGGGACAAGTATAAAAGAAAAACTACATATTGGATGAAAAGAATCTAAAAATACTTCAATTCATACTTCATGTTATGGTCAATATAACTACTATGTAACAACAACCAATTGTAATAATATTTTTGAAGTTTTAATCGCTATTGTAATAATATTTTTGAAGTTTTAATCACTATTGTAAGAATATTTTTTGTCAGATTTGTGTACTGCATGATGACTTCCGCATACATGTATAATAAGGGGCTGTCACAGAGTAGTTAAATTAAATAAACATCTTATTTTAATGTGTAAAGCGATTGTAAAAATAGAAATTGATACAAATCCCTCACTTCCTAATGTGGCGCCTATGAGCAAGACGCCATTTTTGTGAGAGTTTTGCCATAAAATGTGCATCTCCACGTGGGGAAAGGGCAATTTTTAAATAAAAAAAAATATGTATGAATCAATACAGTCTCTCAGTACAAAGATATGTTTTCCTTCATTCTTTGATTAAGAACGATTAGCATGGGCTGCCTAATGTGGTGGTTAGGCAAAAACTACAACACTGCAGACATAACCGCGATAGTTACAATATAAAGCTATGGTCTAACTAACACTATTGGTTACATTCCTTTAATTTCCTTTAACCATCAGAATTGTACATCAGGATTGTAGAATAGTAATAAACAACATTAGTGTGGACATACCCTAAAACACTAACGCTATTTAAATAGATTCTCGTCGTAATGAAGTAAGGCTTCCCATCTGCGCAACAAAAATATCTTCAATATTAGATTCAAAGTTTAACTCTGATGAACATTTTTGCATCTTTCCAAGTGCTGCTGGTTTTAGGTAACAAAAAGACACAGAGAAAGAAACAAGGCCAAATTAGTGCATTTCATAAAGTCATCGGACCTCCACGCGCCCAATGTTACCGCCGCATAAACCCCGCCCCTTTCAACTGCGGCTTGGACATCCCGGTGTTCACGTACGTGTGTCCCGCGGGGGAGTACACGATGTTGCCGTGGGGCGGGGCTTGCATGGGTTGCTGGGCGTACGGTTGAGTTCCCATCATGCCCATCTGCATAGAGTACTGGGGCGACTGGTTCATGTATCCGTGGTTACCGTGATAACCGCTGTTCATGGTGGGGTGGCTCATGCCGTAGCCGTTTAGCGAGGGCATGTTCATGGAGTTGTAGGCGGGCGCGGTGGGCATCAGACTGACCCTCGGCACGGTGCGTGGGGCGTACATCTGCTGCTGGTGGGCGTGGAGAGACTTGGAGCGTGACGCCGTGTGGTTCTTGGAGGCCATCTGTGATTGGACGCGCTGCGATTGGAGGTTCCGCTGGAGCATCATGTGGGAGGGGGCGGCGAGGGAGGGGGGAGGAGGCGTCATGGCGGTCTGCGGGGCGGGGACTCGGTGCGGCGTCTGGGGTAGGTTCGGCGTGTTGGCGTAGGACGTGATGGGGTGCGAGGGGGTGTGGCTAAAAGGGTCCATGAACGAGTTGGTGAACTGCTGGAGCTTTGCCAGGCTTAGTCCCGATGGTTGGGTATAGTGCGGCCCGTATTCACCCTGCGGGTTTAAGCGTTCATACAGGAAGTTGGGGCTTGATTCTGGCAGTTCGGGCAACGGGACGCCCGGGTTGAAGCTGGGGGCCAGGGTACATTGGGGTACTCCGTGCTGTTGCCCGTGGAGACCGTGCTGGGGCAGTTGATTGTGGTGCAGGCTGTGATTGTGGCTCATTTGGTTGTGATTGTGGGCGGAGTTATGCGTGTGGGAGGAGCTATGGATATGAGGCTGGCTGTGGGCGGGGTTATGTTGACTGTGGGCGGAGTTATGTTGCGAGTGGGCGGAGTTGTGTTGTGAGTGGGTGGAGTTGTGACGCCCGTGTGACGTATGGTGCGGAGTGTGGTTATGGGACAAGGGCTGATTGTGCACAGCGTGTTGGGGGTGAGGTGCATTATGGGGGTGAGGCGGGTGAGGTGCATTGTGGGAGTGTGTTGCATTATGGGAGTGCGTATGTGGAGGGTGAGGTACATTAAGGGAGTGTGAATGTGCGGGGTGTGGTGGATTATGGGAGTGCGGTGCATTATGGGAGTGCGAGTGCGAAGGGTGAGGTGCATTGTGGGAGTGCGAATGAGGAGGGTGAGGTGCATTGTGGGAGTGTGGCGGGTGAGGTGCATTGTGGGAGTGGGGCTGATTGTGCGGCTGGTTCAGATTGTGAGGCCCATGTTGGTGCTGATTGTGGCTGATTTGATTGTGCTGATTGTGTTGCCCGTGGCGCCCGTTGCTGGGAGACCGCTCAACCACACAGCCCTGGGGGGACTTGACGTTGCAGTGCTGAGGCGAGCTCAGGCTTTGGGCCATCAGGGTGCACCCGGGCACCATGGGCGGGCCCACGGCACAACTGCCCTGGGACAGAGCGCTGCCGTAGCCCAGAGACGAGTCGTAGCTGCTGGGGTTCTCGTAGGGCTCCGTGGTGCTCTCGATGCTGCCCAGGTCACTGAAGCCGCTGTCCACCACCTGCTGCCCGTGGTCGGACACCGAGGGCACGTCCATCACCGGGCTGGTCTCCAGGTTGTTGTGTAGCACCATGGCGCCGTGCTCGGGGCTGATCTGGGTGTAGCCGCTCTCCAGCAGGGACACTGCGGGACTGTTGACGGAGCGCACCGATTGGCTGGGGTGTGAGGGGGCGGAGGAGAGGGGGCTGCTGTGGTCGGACTGGGGGCAGTCCTCTGGCACAGGGGCAGGGCTGGGGGGCACGGGGGCATACGGCTGCACTGGGGGGCAAGGCTCCACAGGCTCCACACACTCCTGGAACACAGCGTCCTGTGTGAGAGACTGCACCGCCTGCACCGTCTCAGAGTCCAGCTCCGCGCACACGGGCTCCTCTCTGGGGGCGGGGCTTATAGGCTTCTGTGGAGGTGCAGAGGGGGGCTGCTCCTGACAGGGACTGGGGTGGTCCTGACAGGGGCGGTCTTGACTGGTTTGGTCTTGACAGGGACTGGGGAGGTCCTGACAGGGGAGGTCCTGACAGGGACTGGGGGCAGCCTCTTCCTCTGAAGCGTTCCCAGAATCCACTGCAGCCTCTGGGACCGGGCCCTGCTCTGGTTCTGTTAAAGCCTGAGCCTCGACTGCCGCCTCAGACCGCTCCTCACACTCATCTGTCGCCATGGACACCTGCAGCCCCGCTTCCTCGCACTCATTTGGACCTGAATACTCTGTGGTGCATTCAGGGGCGTCAGGCACATCCGGCTCTGGCTCCTCTTTCGTTGCCTCTGGCTCCGCTGACGTCTGCTCCTCTTCCTCCTCTTCCTCTCCCTGCCCCTCCGCCTGGCTGGGCTCCTCCTCTTCCTCTCCGTCGCGGGCGGTCTCAGCTCTGGGCTCTTCGTGGTCGGGGTGTTTGGGGGAGTCGGGCTCACTGTCCTGGGGCTCTGGGGGGGCTTCGGGGGAGGAGCGGTAGGGGGCGGGAGAGCAGACCGGAGAGTCCTCTGCAGAGCTGGACTTGTGGGACTCTGGCTGATTGGGGCTGTGAGGTTGGGACTGAGGCTCTGTTACATCAGGACTGTCTGGCCCCGGCTCCGCTCGGCTACCCTCGTCGCCGCTGGCAACGCCCCGCTCCGCCTCCTCCGTGTGGTGCTCCGCCTCCAGGGGGGTCTCGGGGGGCGTGTACAGGTTCAGTTTGAAGCCCATCTTTCTCTCGTTCTTGGTTCTCCATTTGGGCGGGCCGCGCTTCACACCTTTGGGCCAGCCTTTCTTCCGTTTCAGTGGACGAGTAGTGGGTCTTTTGCAGAGGAAATCTGCTCCTGTAAAAGAGAGAACACAGTTTTATGGTCAGGGGGGTACAGAGGAAAAACATCATATTAATCTCCCTTAAATGTCTTCAATCAGTTCCTTGTTCCTTGCGTTATTCGTATCCATAGGTAAATTTGTTTTGCAGATTTGAGGCAGGTCCCACAGTTCACATTTCATTCATTCATCCATCCACATAAAGTGTTACAGTGCTCCAGTGCAGAATGGTTTTGTTCCATAAACAATTAGTTAAATTCATCCATCACACTTGGCTAAAATCACAATTAATATTACATATATAAAAAACACACAATTTTTCCAAGACAAATGTACTAAAATCGATCGATAAATGGATTACAATTTATTCATAAGTCTGATAGCAGCCGGAACAAAGCTCCTTTTAAAACGATTCATTCTAGATCTTGGGACTAAAAGCCTCTGACCAGAGGAAGCACCATAATTCAGATTAATAATATGTTATTAACAACACATTTCCTACTCATGGATTTCAGCTTCTTGGTAGGAGTAACATTTTGAGGACCATTTTTATTATAATAGTTAATTGCTAGGGATGTAACAATAACCAAAATATTGTGATATTGTATCGTCAAAAGTTTCAATAATGTCGTGGTCTGTCACAATATATCGAATCACAAGTTTATTTGCTTAAATGCATGGTTTTATAGTAGCAACAGCTTATGAAAACTGGGAACTACATATCCCATGATTCATTTCAGCGCAGACAACATGAAGAAATATGTTTTTTATTTGAATTCTGATTATGACGGAAATAATTCACACCAAAATCTTTTATTTCAAAAGCAGAAACGTGTCCTATCTACAATTATATCAGCCTCTTCAAAATATCACGTGAGATTTGGATATCGTTACATCTCGCTCAATTGCTATGGCAACTGTATTCTGAAACCCATGGATAAGTTTTTTGCTTCCTATTATTTATATTAGTAATCTAACTTATCAAGCCTCTATTTCTAAAGTCCATTCATGTTTTAAATTGGGCCACTCAAACTTTATTTTATTGTAAAAATGTCCTGTAATGTTAAATATTTAACATACTACAGACACATCAGGACATACCTTCGCTCCAGAGTTCACGATTGTCTTTCTGAATGTTTTTCTCGAGTCGTGGTCTTCCTCTCCTCCTCTTCATCGGCGTGATATGCCTCTTCTCCCTCCCCTCCTCCTCCTCATCCTCCTCTTCCTCGTCGTCCATCTCTCCGACCCGGGACGTTCTCTCCAGGTGGGGCATGGGCCTCTCGTCGTCCGAGTGATCAAAGGGCTCGTTTAGCACCTCCGTCGTCTCGGAGATGGTTTCCGTGGTGACACTGCTGTTTACTCTCTTCCTCTTTCGACCTCGCTTCTTCAACACCACAGACCTCTGCAAAAACGACGAGAAAACGCAAAATACAAGTTAGTGATATGGTGTAATTAATTATAGCTTTGTCTGGAATGTTCCACAGTTTAAGCAGGTTGTGCCACCAGGGCAAGTTACAAATCAGATCTGTGGAAAAGTGTCTCAACCCGAAGTAAGAATGTATGCAATATATTTTATAGCAATGAACACACCTACGTCTGAATAAATGCAAGCTCAATGAAATATCTCCATGGAAACAAGCTAATTGCACTACTTCTATTACTACTATTCCTATTAATATTACTACTACTACTACTACTACCACTAGTGCTAGTGCTACTCCTACTATTATTATTACTATTACTATTACTACAACGACGACGACAACTACGATTACTACTACTACTACTACTACTACAACCACTAGTGCTAGTGCTAGTGCTACTACTACTACTACTACTACTACTACTACTACTACTACTACTACTACTACTACTAGTGCTAGTGCTAGTGCTACTACTACTACTACTGTTGCTGCTGCTGTTACTACTGCTACTCCAACTACTGCTACTGCTACTATTACTATTACTACTACTACTGCGGCTGCTTCTGCTTCTGCTGCTACTACTACTACTACTACTACTACTACTACTACTACTACTACTACTACGACTAATGTTAGTACTAGTGCTACTACTATTATTACTATTACTACTGCTACTACTACTACTACTTCAGCTGCTTCTGCTACTACTACTACCCCTACTACTACAACAACCATTAGTGCTAGTGTTAGTTACTACTCTTACTATTACTCAAACAAGCTAATTGCACATATACTATGTGTAGTCAGACAAATATTATCTTTATTTCGCTACCTTTTTATTCTTATCAACATGTAAAATGGAAACTTGAGTTATCACTGTAAAATATATAGTCTAAAATACCTTCACTGTTTGTATGTAACAGCTTGTCCCTAGAAATCAGCGATCTGAGCCAAATTGATATGAAGCTCAGTGTTTTTATCTTCATGTCCACAAGAGGGCAGCAGTGTCCCACTCAAAGAGACCAGTAAATTAACCATGACGCTGACAATGGTACAAGGTTTAAACAGAGGCCCTAAAACACATCTATTATCCACAGCTGCGAGCTCTACACCGCTTCCACCCAATCCATGAATATTTATCAAAGTTCCCACCGCACACGAACGCAACACAGACGCTAATGAAGGGAAACAAATAATGATAAACACTCAGCTGTGCTTTGAGCCCAGAGAAAACCAAACAAGAGAGACAGACATGAAGCAGGAGTCGATAATGATCTGCTCAATTAAAGGGCCCACCATTCTAAAAGTAATACTACTGCTGCTACTGTTACTACTGCTACTACTACTGCTACTGCTACTACTGCTACTACTGTTACTACTGCTACTACTACTGCTGTTACTACTGCCACTCCTACTACTACTACAACCACTAGTGCTAGTGCTATTACTACTACAACTCCTACTGCTACTGTTACTACTGCTACTTCTACTACTACTCCTACTGCTACTACTACTGCTACTACTCCTACTACTTCTACTATGACTACAACCACTAGTGCTACTACTACTACTACTGCTATTACTACTACTACTGTTACTGCTACTGTTACTACTACTGTTACTGCTACTGTTACTGCTACTGTTACTACTACTCCTCCTACTCCTACTGCTTCTACTACTACTACAACCACTAGGGTTAGTACTAGTAGTACTACTAGTACTACTACTACTGCTGCTGCTGCTAGTCCTACTACAACAATTGATATTACTACTGCTTCTTGTGCTACTATTACTACACCTACTACACCTACTATTACTACTACTACACCTACCACTACTCCTACTATTACTACTACTACTACTTCTGCTACTACTACAACTACTACTATAGCAACTACTACTGCTACTACTACTACTACTACTAAAGGCAGAAGACAGTTGGGGACAAAGGCGTCTGTTGTCCGGGGCCCCAGGGTTTTAGGGGCCCAGATTTGGACTCTCTTCCTATTCATTTATATCAGAGGGGCCCATGTGAGGCTTCGTCTTGTCGAAAGGCTTTTATCAATATAAATATATGATTGTTGTCAGTTGAAAGGATTTAAAAACATGAGATTAATATTGTCGATTTGTGGAACCAATCCCAAACAAATAAAATAATGATAAGGGTCAACGTTTGTAGATTTCTATTGTGTATTTCTTTTAAAAACATTAACTCTCCCATAAAGTTATATAAGCCCCATGCCCTCCATCTGAAATTATGACATGATCAAATCGTAGAAACCTAAACCTAATCTATAAAAGGTGAATTCCGTGTATGTGCCACTCAGCTGCTTCCTGTTACAGTCCTGTTCTGGGAAGTGCAATAGTATGTCTTTTCTTGGAGGCAGTTTTTCAATAGGGACTTGCTCGGGACTTCAATACAGTCAGTGCAGTAGCCTTTTTCACGGTTATCTATTCAGAGACGAGTAGAGCAAAGACAGGACCACTGCTGGACAATTAACTTACCAAGAAAGTACTTCCAGTTACTCCAAAATACATTAAAAGTGCATTGTGTAATTTTTCTGGTGGAGGGTTCGCCAAATGCTTTTCTTCGTGGAAATGTTATTGCTTTGTCTGGAATGTTTCACAGTATGGTATTATTAAACCTTTCTATCTTTACAGAGACCAAACCAGAGCGAGTTACAGGTCAGATCTGCGGAGAGGCGACCCCGCTCACAGTCAGAATGTTGTTTTTCGAGATGTTTTTGAGCTATAAAACCACCTGTAATTGAATAAATGTAAGGTAAAACAAGAGCAATCCATAGAAACAAGCAGGCAGAGGTGGGACTAAGTCGATGTTTTGCAAGTCTCAAGTAAGTCTCAAGTCTTTGACCTCAACTTCAAGTCGAGTCTCAAGTCACTGGTTCGTAAGACCAGGTCAAGTCCAAGTCTTCTGGCTTTGAACTTCGAGTCATTTGAAGTCTTTAAACCAAAAAAAGTATCAAATATAGCTTAGATTTTTGCAGTTTATATGACTTTTAAACTAAATTGTACTTAAAAGTGGTGGTTTATTTATATACGAGTATTTATATTGTTGTACAAATGCAAATTTTTCCTTTTTAAATGTCTTGACAAGATCTTAGTGTGAATATTTACCGTCAGAAAAAAAAGAATTCACATTTAATAGTGCTTAACAAGTTATTTTGTCATGTTAGGATCATCTTCTAAGTAGTTCCCTCTGTTTTACTGTATTGTACTGTATATTACTGTAGTACTTTTGAGGATACCACATTGCAGTACTTAATTTTACATCCAAAGTAACAGAAGTGGGAGGGACATGTTCCTGTTTGTTCCTGTAAAATTAAGCACTGCATGTATCTTTTTTTAGAAGCATCAAGTCTTTTCAAGTCACAGAGCTCAAGTCCAAGTCGAGTCCCAAGTCTTAGTCCATTTTATCAAGTCAAGTCTCAAGTCCTAAAAATAGTGACTCAAGTCTGACTCGAGTCCAAGTCACGAATTGCAAGTCCCCATATCTGCAAGCAGGTAATGGACCCTCACCAAAAAGTTACACAGTGCACCTTTAAACTAAACTAAACCAGTTCTAAACCAGATCAAAACATGACTTATTTTGACAACAAAACAAGCGTAACTCTTAATGAATTCACCTTTCTTTTGGTGGAAAGCATGACGTGGGCTTTGGTGAGGACGGGCGGCGAGCTGTCTGAATCGTCGTCGTCATCGTCAGCTTCCTCGTCGTCGTGGCTACGCTCCTCAACTTCCTGGATGCGGCGGCTCCATGACGACATAGCGCGGCGCTCGTAGGTTCGGTACGGGACCTTGCAGTGGACTTTGGTGAGGGTGGGGCGGCCGCTGTGGGAGGGGGAGAAGAGGTCGTCTTTGTCCCAGCGATTGGACTGATCCTTCAGCCTCTCCATCTGAAATCACACAAATAATATATCAGGATATTCCCACGTTTGACTACCCCAAATTTAAGACCTTTTTAAGACCAATTAGATGAAAATAAAGACCAACATCACGCCCATTACGCAGGCGAAAAACACCAGATCCAATTCTAATAATGACCAACCAAACTACTATATCTAGAATCTAAGAGCCATTGTGGATTAAACCTGCACTTCCCCACGATCCATCCAGCGTCTTCCTCCACTCTACTGATTGTTTACTTATTGCCACCGGTGCCAGAAACCAAAGTATTGTTTGCGCAGACTCCAAATTAGATTTTCATTCACGTTACACGATCTCATGTTGTTTTTTTCCTGCCTTCATTTAACATCGCACTGCAGCCAGGTTAAGTAAACAACAAAATAGGCTAATGAAATTCAAGACCTTTGTGAAAAAAATAAGATTTGGACAACAGAATTTAAGACTTTTTAAGGCCTTAATTTAGGACCTTAAGACCTTTTTAAGACTTGTAAATAATTTTAAGACCCTGTAAATATAAATAAAATATATATACACTTAAAACTGGGTGATATAACAAAAAAAAATACAATTTATTTGTGTGGTATGTCTTATTAAAAACTAATAAAAATGGCTTGAACATGAATATTAATTTTGGTGAATATAAACAATAGAGACATTTAATACATTATCATTTTGCACTTAAAAAAAATATCACTGAAGATTAGAAATAACTCAATTCTGTTCATTGCCCAGCCTTAAAATACCTATGGATTGTTCAAATTCAAGATTTAACAATAAAAATGACTTTTAAAAATCAAAATTATGTAGAAATTTCTTAGTTTTGGCAGCTCTTAACTGCATGCAAAAAACAAAAACTAAAATTATTTACAAATCTTCATATTTATGTATAAGTTTGTGTTAAGATGTTTATTTTTTACAATATCACATATGCCTCAAAGTTTCATGTTTGAGAAATAGTTGTTTATTCATAGTTTATAAAGATGTGTATTTATTTGTTCAATTAATTTACGAGTGTAAACAAAATAATAAAAATATATATGATACAGTGTGCCAGATTATATAAAAATGCTCTTTATAACGAGCAGTAGCAGCGGTAGTAAAAAGTTAGAAAATACAAATCACTTTGCATAAACTACTTTTTACTTATAATATCTCAACTTTCTTTTTTTTTTTTTTTTTTTTAGTTCCACAGATCGTACGCCTATAAAAACACAATAATTCCACTTTTACCACATGAATACGACATTTACACATCGTTTTATGAGAACAGTAATGAGGTGACAGTAAAATGTTCACTGCTAATTTGCCATGAGTCAGGGCTTTTCAAAGGACAGCTGAAGTCACCAAACCCCATTGAGAAATACACTCGTTTTAGCTCAGAGGACAGACTGTACCGGGGCTATTACTGTTTATGCATGCAATTGTGTCACTTTGAAGCTCGAGATGAAAGTTAGAAAGATGTTTTAAGACAAATGCAAAAAGAGAAAACCAGAGATGAGTTCAATTAGACAAGAATTAATAAGCTCAGGCTGAAATTGTGTCAGTATCACATATTATTATATCAGTTTTGAGGTTAGATTTGCGATTTAAGTTTTAACTATTTAATTTCTGGACAGATAATTTGAGAGAAAACAGAAATTTTTTATTGCAAAAATACAAAAATCACATGTTTGCAGAAGTCTAAACTACACGACTAGCAGGTTTTATATGGAAATATGTGGAAAAGCAGACTAGAATATTTCTCTCTCTCTCTTAAGTCCAAGATTAGTCCTGGTTTAGTCCTGGTTTAGTCCTGTCCTGCCTGTATGTAATTACTACCTGCCCGCATACCCGCCCGTAAAATTCCAGGACGTTAAAACCCGTAACCAGTAACCGACAGTGCAGCACTCAAGTTTCAAGTACTTGGTGACATTGCTCAAGACTGCCCCATTTACAGCCAGGTGTTTTTGATTACAAACACCTGCAGGGGGCGGAGTTTGAAGTATGGATACCTGGTAGAACAATCACACTGTTCCTTAAACCCCCAGACTCCGCCCCTGCTCCAGGTACGAAAGATGTTTCTGGGTGGAGTTTAGGTGTTTAGTTCCACTTTAATATCTTCTACAGCTAAGGGCAGCCTACCTCCATCTCCTCTTCTTCTTCCTCCTCTTCCTCGTCGGATGTGGTGGGTGCGTTGTGGTTTTTCGGCGGGGTCCATCGTAAGGCGCCGGGGTCCACCTCGTACGGTCTGGGCCGCTCCCTCAGACGCTCCATGTGCCTCTGGATCACGCCCTCTCTACGAACCAGAACGATTCTGCAGGGGGAAAAAAAAGTGGTTTTAAGCAAGACAGTAGTATTAGTAGTAGTAGTAGTAGTAGTAGTATGAATATTAGTAGTAGTAGTAGTAATTTAGTTTAGATCACTGTCAAAGGTCATAATAATTGCATGATAGTAACTTGAGTACCGTATTTTTTTGGACAAGTAAGTTACACTTTTTTTCATGGTTTGGGTGTTTCCTTGCGACTTCTACTCCAGTGCAACTTATATATTAAAATAAAATATATTAAAATTTTCAAACTGACAGCCATAAGAGGCTCTAGGCTTGTGTATCAGTATCTACTACTCCTGTACCACTGTCACTTCACCCCCTACTGTGTATGTCTGCTGCAGAAAGAGCCGCTGTCCTGCTGCAAGTAGTGAAATATGCAGCCGAAAACAGTAATCGAGCAGCAGAAAGAAAGTTTGGAGTGAGTGAGAAACTTGTGAGGGACTGGCGTAAAGCAGGGATGGAGAACACAGCTTCACGGTGACCGGGAGGGTGCGCCATGCAACTTTCCTGGAAGTCACTGGATGGATGGACAAAGCCTGGACTTCAGTGACACTGAAACCATCCTGTCGGGATTCAGAAAGGCCGGAATAATTCTAACTGGAACTGATTCTGAGTCTGACAACAGCTACACAGAAGAGGAAGCTGTGCTCTGTTTACCTCTGGATGTCACGGAGTTGCTCAGAAGTGACACAGTGGATGAAGAATTTAATGGATTTAGTGATTTGAAGTGAGATGGAGCGTTTGGTAAACTTGTTCTGTTCTGTTGTTTATGTTATAGTTTAATCTGAAGAACTGTTCATATGTGACGTTTACAGTCTGTTGTTCTCTGTTCTATTGTTACTAGAACTTGACTTTCAACAAGAAATGTTGGTTCCTGGTTTCTGATTTTATAAAATAAATTTCCCCCAAAAAATGCAACTTATGTATGTTTTTTACTTCTTCATTACACATTTTTTGACTGGTGCTACTTATACTCCAGAGAGATTTATAGTCCAAAAAATACGGTAGTTTTAGTATCACAGGAGTAATTAGCATGAATAGTATAAGTAAAAATATATCACATTTGCAGTTGTTGTAGTTGCAGTAGTAGCAGAAGTATTTTTTTATTACAGCAGTTGTAGTTGCAGTAGTAGCAGTGGCTCTGCAGTTGTAATGTGTAACAGTACAGAGCACAGGTGGGCTGCCAGGTGTACACAGACACATGAGTCCTTGGGGGGCTTAACCTGACTTACTTCTGTCAATATTGGGCCGTGTTAAATGGATATGATGTTAAAAATACACAGTGTCCTGGATAAGTCACAGAGCCCGAGTGGAGGAGGCGGGCTGACCTGCCACACCTGTCAATCATCTGCGGCGACTCAAGCAGAACTAAATCAGGACTAAAAAAGGACTAAACCAGGAGTAAATCAGGTTTGTATCAGAGCTGAAGAGGTCTGAGATAGTTTCAAAGCACAAGTAGATTTAGGTGTAATCGTCACTACTCAAGCACGTGGAAACCTAACCTGGCTCATGTCAGACTGGTATGTGCTCTACACATGATCAATCTGGCTCTCGTTGAAAGCGATCAGGATTTATTGAGGCGAGTAGTCCTAGCAGGAGCTTGTGGGTGGGATTTTGCCAAGATGGATTCCCATGAGCTTGTGAACTCACAGATATTGTAAGAATCCATGTTGCTACACAAGGTTAGTCTAAACCAGAACAGAACTGGATCTAAACCAGGTCTGAACCACTGAACCAGGTCTACCCCAGCCCCTCTCCACACTCACCTCCCGTCCCTGGTGTCGATCATGCCCAGCTGCTGCAGGGTGGCGGCGACGTCGTGTGGGCACATGCCCGTGGCTCTGCTGATGCCCCTCACACTGATGTGTTTGTGGCGATGCTTCGAGAGGTGCTCCAGAATCACACTTTTCCAAAACGCAGAGTACGACAGGCGGCCCAGGTCTGACAGAGGCTTCTCAGGAGAACCAGCCTGGCCCTCACGCCGGGTGAGCAGGTAACCTACAAAATAAAAACAGTTTAGTTACAACACTGGTCACGAACAAAAACCTGACTGATCCAAAAGACTGAAATATGAAATACAATAAAATACTAATACAAGAAGCATTTGAGAACATGTTAGTAAATGTTAAACTACACAGTGAGCAGATTGGGTCACTACAACATGTGATTTTGCTTCAGGTTTGATTAATCTGGCAGCTCCAACACTAATTCAAAACAACACAACAGGTTTTGAACTGTGCTGTAAAAAAAGATATACAGCTGCAATCAAATTTAAATTACTACAGTAAGCAAATTGAAAATTATTTGATTATTATGAGCAAAGAAATTATTTGAGTAACATAATTTTTACAGACAATAGAACATTATTATTATGTTTATTTTAGGCAGTACAAACATGTTCTGAAACTCCTAGATGATACAGAATTCTACTAATAAAACAAAAATCTAAAATTTTGCCACAACTGTAATGTTTATGAGACCTGATAGACCAGATAACTACTACTATTAGAATTTAACTATTAAAACGTAGTTTTAAAAACAAGATATAATTTTTTAAAGTTTTATTTTCATGCTTTGAACAGTGGATAGTGGCGCGCTAAGGAAAGTTACATGATCTCGACCATTAGAGTCTGTTTGTTTATTTATTTAGCTTTTTTACATTATTAAGTTGAATTGAGGATAACTATATGAGGGGCTTTTAAAGTCATTTTTATTATGTTTATTTCCCAGTTGATCGTTCATGAGTACAGTTTTTGCTTATGTTAAATCCTTAAAACCCAGGGGGAGGGGCTAAGGCGGGACTCAAGTCATTTGTTCTGTGTTTTTGGCCTGACTCTAAGTGCTATCACTGTAAATATTATTGTAAATACTTCTTTTTTTTTTTGGACTCTACTTCATCATTTCCACTGTAAATGCTGCACTCTGCACATTGGGCTGTGGTGTAAATAAAAACGCACTTAAGTGAAGTTTTTTCGACACAGACAAACTAAACAGACATCAACAAAACAAATAAGAAGAGACAAAAATAATAATAATATTCCAAAAATACAACTAAAGAATGGAGTAATTATGACCAAAAAATGAGACAAAACAAGATAATGATAAATAAAAAAGAGGAGTGAGAGAGAATAACACTTTTCAGAATCAATAGCCGCGTAAATGAGGATCTAGTTTCAAGAGCAGTTTTAGTATTACTAGTATTTTTTCGTGTCGGGGATCGTAGTTAATAGAAAAATTGACTTCACTACTCACCAGGGGCCGTACTTAGCCGAGATCACAAACAAGGCAAGAAAAAAAAACACCAAAATCTAATGTGTGTAATTCATTTTCACGAGCTGCTTTGTCAAGGGTCATCCATTACGAGACTGTGTGAAATTAATTAATGGTTTTTAATGTGCACCCGCAAAAACTGATGTGCCCAAACAAGCAAGTCTAATCACCAAACACGGCACGCTAATGTTACAGTAATCACCGCATATTCATTTAACGGAGGAGAGGAGCAGTCGCCGTTGACAACACTTAACGCTGAATATTCAAATAAATTAATTGGGGAAAAGTCATAATTCATTTTGTCGTTTTACAAGTGAGTTAGTATTAATAAAAGGGAAACAAAGGAGCAGAGACGCGAGCTTTGAAAAATGATCTGAAAGAGGGTTTTTCATAAGTCCTTCTCTCGACTGCGGACTAATACTGCAGTTCAGAAGTATTAGAAGGACTTAAAGAGGGAATATGAATAATTATGAGTGAAAACAATATAAAGAGAGAGTGGTTAAAGTGGGCTAAAATATCTGACAAAATGAAATAAAAAATAAATACAAATAACTAGGGATGTAACCAGGCTGATATCATTGTAAATGGGATGCTTTTTTTTGCTTTTAAATGCCCTGATAAGATTTTGGTGTGAATTATTTACGTCATAATCCCAAGAATTCAAGTCAAAAACATATTTCTTCATGTTGTCTGCGCTGAAATGAATCATGGGATATGTAGTTTCCAATGTTTATAAGTGACTGCAGCTGGAACTTGTGATTCGATATATTGTGACAGCCCACGATATTATTTTGAGACTTTTGACGATACGATATCACGATATTTCAATTAATATTTGGTTATATTTCGTTTATAATAGTCTGAATAATACATTTTGTAGTAATTTTTACAAAAGTTAATGTCAGAACAACATTACTTCAACTTGTGGTCCTAAATTTTTTGTCTTGTAATAAAGTTTTGTTCTATACTGTGCTCTGTCTGCATCTAATTGTAAAGCTTTTTTTATCATCCGTGAACCAGGAAGTAAGATTGGTGTGCAGTTAGCATGCTAGTTGTTGTTACAATTATTACTACTATGGACTAATGCTGCATTTCAGAAGTATTAGCAGTACTTAAAGAAAAAAAAGACTTTGTTCAGAATTGTTCAGTGAAAAAAAAAATATATATATATATAACAGACATGTCAAACTCAGGCTTGGGGACCAAATTTGGCCTGAGACATAATTATATTTGGCCCACGAGATCATATTAGATATGTATTAAATCTGGCCCGCCGGCTACAGACAGACTATAGAGACATTATTTATTTAAAATGTTGTTTGTATTTTATATTTAGCTTGTTCTGGATTCAATGTTTAAGCAAAACTATTATTCAGAATTTATTTTAATAAGATGTCAAAATAAGAAATAAGAAAGGGTTTAACATTACATATCTCAAAAGAAGAGAAAACACGCAGATGTTGTTGAAATTTTTCAATAAATATTTAGTTTGGCCAACGACTTAGTCCCAGTTTTTAATTTTGGCCTCTGTGAATTTGAGTTTGACACTCCTGATATAGAGGATGGTTAAAGCTGGCTGCAATATTTGAACAAATAAAATGACAAATATTCCCATATATAAATAGCATAATAATAAGTTTTATTATATTCTGAATAAATACATTTTGTAGTTATTTCCTACAAAAGATAATATGTAAAATTATCAGATTTTTTTTCATGTAATACAGTAAAAATTGTCTTGTCGTTGGGTCAAAGTGAGACTGTTGAATACTGTTTGCATCTAATTATAAAGTTTTTTTAATCATCCACAAACTAGGAAGTAAGACTTGTGTGCTGTTAGAGTGCTTGTTGTTGTTGTTAGCGTTGCCATGGAAGCAAAACTCTGCTCTGGTATCTCCAAGTTGTGAAAAGCACTTATAAACTCAATAATTAGGAGGCAAGAGTTGCGTTAGGAAAGTGAGGAATAATTCTGGGCAAACAAAACGCAAACAAAACGACTAGATCTGTTTTTCACCAAAGAAAAATTCTGAGTATTCAGCTGAAAAACTGAATTTTCTTCGGGATTAATAAAGTATATCTGTCCATCTTAAAGGTGTGTAACTTTTCTGGTGGATTGTTTGTCTCTATGGAGATTTAGTTTTTTTCTGGAATGGCATTTATTTCATTTACTCAATTACTGACCAACAACTTGCATTCTTACTGTGACTGGGCTCGCCTCTCCGCTGATCTGACTGATGTAACTTGGCCCTTTGGCGTCACCTTGTGTTTTCATAGACTTAAATAAGTGTAATGCCACACTGTGGAACATTCAGGACAATATCCCCACGGAGGGAAGCACGTGTCGGATCCTCCACCAGAGAAAAAAGTTACACAGTGCGACTTTAAGACTCAGACTCAGGTGCGGCGCAAACGTAGTTATTAGTGAAAAACGGTAAAACGACTCGCAGATATCGGGATCGGCTCGGGGGGGAAAAAAAACAACAAAAACATATTGAATCATCGTCACTAAACAAAGTCCTCAAGCTACAAAAGTGCATTTCCAATAGAGACTTGAGGAGCTCAGCTGTGTTCAATCGGCCTAATCCTCCTCTTTGTTATCAGCCACTCTCAATATCTCCACCCGCCCGAGCAGCCCCCAAAGTGAAGAGGAAATCAAACGCTCCATTACCAAACGCCCTTCCTCTCCTTTTGCTCTCTCTCACTCCCTCTCTCTCATTCTCTCCCCTCGCCTCTCTCTCCCTCTTTTTTCTCTCCCATTCTCTCTCTCTACTCCCTCTCCTTCATATCTTTCTTTTCCCTCTCTTCCCTCTCTCTCCCATTCTCTCTCTCCTCCATCTCTCTCTCTCCCTCTCTCTCCCTCTCCTCTCCTCCCTCCTCTCTCTCCCACTCTCTCTCATCTCCATCTCCTCTCTCTCTCTCTCTCTCTCTCTCCTCTCTCTCTCTCTCCTCTCCTCTCTCTCCCTCTCTCTCCTCCTCTCCTTCTCTCCTCCATCTCCTCTCTCTCCTCCCTCTCCTCTCCCTCTCTCTCTCTCCCTCCCTCTCTCTCTTCCCACTCTCTCTCTCTCTCTCCTCTCTCTCCTCCTCTCCTCTCTCCTCCCACTCCTCTCTCTCCTTCTCTTCCCTCTCTCTCTCCTTCTCTACTCACTCACTTCTCTCTCTCTACTCCCTCTCCTCCATCTCTCTCTCTTCCCTCTCTCTCCTCCACCGCTCTCTCTACTCTCTCCTTCTCTTTCTCTCTCTCTCTCTCTCTGTCCTCCCTCTCTCTCTACTCCCTCTCCTCCATTTCTCTCTCTTCTTTTTCCCTGTCCTCCTTCTCTCTTTCCTCCTTCTCTGTCTACTCTCTCCTCCTTCTCTCTCTCTCTCTCTCCTCTTTCTCCTCCCTCTCTCTCTACTCTCTCTCCTTCTCTTCCCTCTCTTCCATTTCTGTCTCCTTCTCTTCTCTTCCCTCTCCTCTCTTTCTCTCCTTCCCCTCTCTTGCTACTCCATCTCCTCCATCTTTCTCTCTCTTCCGTCTCTCTCACTCTCTCTCCTCCCTCTCTCTCTCCTCCCTCTCTTTCTCTTCCCTCTCCTTATTCTCCCCCTCCCTCTCCTCTGTCCCTCTCTTGCTCTCCCCTTTCTCTCCCGTTATCTCTCTCCTCCATCTCCTCTCTCTCTCCTACTCCCTCTCTCTTTCTCTTCCCTCTCCTCCATTTCTCTCTCTTCCTCTTCCCGCTCCTCCATCTTCCCTCTCTCTCTACTCCCTCTCTTCCCTCCACCTCTCTCTCTTTCTCCTCCCTCTCTCTCCTTCTCTTTCTCTCTCTCTCCTCCCACTCCTCCATTTCTCTCTCCTTCTCTTCCATCTCCTCTCTCTCCACTCCCTCTCCTTCATCTCTCTCCCTTTCTTCTCTCTCCCTCTACCTCTCCATCTCCTCTCTACCCCCTCTCTCTTCCCTCTCCTCTCTTTCTCTCTTCCCTCTCATCTCTACTCCATCTCTCCTTCTCCTCTTTCTCTCTCTCCTTCATTGTCCCTGAACTCTTCACAATAATAAAACTGCTCCAATGACAAAAATGCCTGAACGGAGAAAGAGGGAAAAAGAAACTCAACACCTGAAACTCACTGTAGTATTTTCTTTTCCCAAGACGCCTCCTACACCGGGCGCATTTATTTATTTTTTTTACTTTATTAAAAACAGAAAAACAAAACTAGTTCCCTCATTTGCGTTACACATTCAAAGTATTCTAATTATTCACCAAAATTTAGTTTATAAAAGCGTTTCATAACTCTCTTTTAAAGCCGAGTTTTGCCTAAACAGTAAAGTTAACAACAACTAGCATGCTAACACACACTTCCTGATTATCGGACAATAAAATGCTTAGATGGTGCCAGTACACAGCAGACTTATTTAACCTCAGGAGCTGTTTATAATTATATATCCGCCCTGGAGCAAGATTTTTTTTGGCTCAAATACGTGGGAAAATTGGGTGTGGGGTCTTTAAAGGTGTAGTCGATTCAAGAGGGGCATTAAAGCCACATTACGGAACTTACTGAAGTCGATGAGGAAGCGTCCGAAGCCCTTGCGCTGGTGCTGAGGCAGGATCATGATGCACGACACGTTGTATTTCTGCTGACAGAGCTTCTCCTGAGGGACACGGACACAAGGAGAGTCAAGAGCTGAACACGTCAGAACTACAACTGCCACCTGCCAACTGCCTCCACCTGCCGCCACCTGCCACTACTGTCCTCCACCTGCCTCCACCTGCCGCCACCTGTCACACTGTCCTCCACTGCCCACCTGCCACACTGTCCTCACTGCCACCCTCCACCTGTCACTACTGTCCTCCACCTGCCTCCACCTGTCACTACTGTCCTCCACCTGCCGCCACCTGTCACTACTGTCCTCCACCTGCCTCCACTGTCACCTGTCCTCCCACCTGCCGCCACCTGTCACTACTGTCCTCCTCACCTGCCTCCACCTGTCACTACTGTCCTCCACCTGCCTCCACCTGTCACTAACCTGTCTTCCACCTGCCGCCACCTGTCACTACTGTGCTCCACCTGCCTCTATTGTCCTCCTACACCTGTCTCTACTGTCCTCCACCTGCCTCTACTGTCCTGCACCTGCCTCTACTGTCCTGCACCTGCCTCTACTGTCTTCTCACCTGCCTCTACTGTCCTCCACCTGCCTCTACTGTCCCACCTGCCTCTACTGTCCTCCACCTGCCTCTACTGTCTCCACCTGCCTCTTCTACTGTCCTCCACGTAGCTCTACTATCCTCCATCTGCCTCTAGTGTCCTCTACCTGCCTCTACTGTCCTCCACCTCCCTCCACCTGCCTCCACCATCTTCTACCTGCCTCAACTGTCCTCCACGTGGCTCCACTGTCCTCCACCATCCTCCACCTGCCTCCACCTGCCTCCACCTGCCTCCACCTGCCTCCACTGTCCTCCAACTGCCTCTACTGTCCTCAACCTGTGTCTACCTGCCTCCACCTTTGCTACGGCCACTCACGTGCACTCTCATAGACATGTGCACGCTCACAGGCTCGTGCACGCCCATAGTGATGGTATGTAACTTTCTTGGTGCACATCACCATTGGAAATAGAAAGTTAAAACCATACTTCAGAACATTCTGCATTTATGCTAGACTGTAAAATATTATAGCCAAAGGAACAAAATTTCTATGGAAACAAGCAGAATTTCTGTTTGGCCCAGAGGATGCCCTCCTCCTGGCCAAACAAGAGTCAGTGCAATTAAAAACGTTCATAATGAATAAACATGCTTTTTTTTTTGGCAAAAGTGACATAATATGGCTTCAGTCTGAAATGTATAATGTTGTTAAAATGCAGCTTTAGTACAGTGAGTTTGAGGGTTTGGTCAGTCATAAAAATAATCAAATTCGACATCTGTGAATTTCTCTTTTGGATGTTTCATAGTAATGGCAAAAGTACAATGTAATCAACAGGAAAATCTGCCTCTTGCCCAGTGTCTGTGAGCATGACATCATCCCATTTCTAGGATCTGAAACCCCAATACTCAGGTCTAATGTAACATAATGTCATGTAGAAGTTACCTTGGAGAAGTATCCGACCAGATGACAGCCTTTCTGGTCGTTCTGGGTGAGGATGTAGAAGAGAAAAGGCTCCACGTCGTAATACAGCGTTTTGTGATCCAAGAACAGTTTGGCCAAAAGGCAGAGGTTTTGGCAGAACAGTTTACTGACATTTCCATCAACCTAAAAAACAGGGGAGAGGAACAGTGTTTGAAACCAGATCTGGAAAAACAGGAGATCACTGCTCAAAAGGCCAATTTGATTTCTTCAGTACAAATTTGACTTTTATTTTAGTTGAATCCGGCACATGCATATGCTATTTAAAGGTACAGTATGTAACCTTCTGGACGTGGCAGGGGCCTGATTCCATGAAGATAAAAAGTTAAAACTATTCTTTGGCTCATTCTCAAGTTTTATGGCATACTGTGGAATATTTTAGCTTGATTCATCAGACGGTTTCACTTTGTTTCACTTCGTAGAAACTGTCTGACCTCACAGTGTTAGAATTCGTTCGCTCGACTGTAGGCGGGTACTTTTTATCATTTGGTCGTGACGTATGTAATGTGCCACTAGCGGGGCTAACTGGTATATTAAGCTTTTCCCAATTCCTATAGGAAGAAGGGCAATAACGTCTTTCACCTAGAGGAAATTCACCAAACATTCTCTTTATTCTGGTTTTAAATCCTCGATCTCCCACTCAAAGTATGTCTTTTATTTTAGTCTATTTTTGGCTAAAGTTTCATAGTGTTGCTTGAAATATTTACTTTGGTATTTTGGTAACTAAATTGTTGAAAATGTTGTTCCTTTGGTTGTAATATTCCACAGTATGTCATAAAACACTAGCCTGATTCATCAGCCGGTTTCACTTCATAGAAATCCTTCATAGGATTCATTCGCTTGACGGTAGGCGGCTACTTTTTTTATTTAACCAATCGCTGCTATTTGGTCGTGACTTATGTAATGCGCCGCTAACGGGGCTAACTGGTATATTAAGCTTTTCCCAAATCCCGTAGGAAGAAGGGCAATAACGTCTTTCCCCTTGATAAAATTCACCAAACATTCTCTTTGTTCCGGCTTTAAATCCTCGATCTCGGGAATCGTTGACAACACTGGATGTACGGCTCTTCCGAGGTTCTTGCAAACAGTCTATTGTATTTTCATTCCTGACCTAGTTGCTGAAGAGAAATTAAACTGAGTGGAGGTACTAGGTGGCGCCAGCCTGGCTAGAATATTATAGCCAAAGAAACAACATTTCCAACATTTCCTCCTGGCCAAATAGTGTCAGGTTTATGGAGATGCAAGCCCACTCAGAGTATGGCTTTAATTTTAGTTTATTTTTAGCTAAAGTTTCATTGTGTAGCTTTAAATATTTGGTCTTTACTGTTTTGGTAACTGAAATGTTGAAAATGTTGTTCCTTTGGTTGTAATATTCCACAGTATGTCATAAAACACATCTATCTCGAGGAAGAACGTTTGAAATATTCTTTAAATGTTAAGTTTAAATGGAATAACATACCATTTCCACAAAGTTACATAGTGTTGCTTTCACTATAATATTAGAATCTAATGAGTAGAGTTAAGTCAAGACAGAAACAGCTATAAAAACTATTGAAATAACAAAAAAACACAACTATTCACTAATAAACACATGCTTTTTTCAACATTACCTTTTATTTTGTGCGATCATAAACGATTAACTTTTGCGCCTTCGTTAAAGTTAGTATTAGTTTGCACGACCATAAACGAAAACAAAATATCCTTACTTTAAAAAAAAAAATTATTCTCATTGTGGTTTATTTTGTCCAATCATAAACGATAAACTTTTGTGGTTTTGTTAACATTATTATCAGTTCGTACGACCATAAACGAAAAACAAAATATCCCTACATTTGAAAATAACAACTATTTGGGACAATTTGGGCTAAACGGGACAGAACCAGAATTAAACTAGTGCTTTACACGCGGTACCAACAGTTCCAAATTAGACTAAACCAAGAGAAAAGTCCAAAAATATACATGAAAACCTGAATATATTTTGATTGAACCCCCCTGTCTTTGCTTCAGCGTGTGCCCACCTCAAACACAGAGAGGTCATCCTTGCGGTAGATCTCGTTGGCAGGAGGGTGGAACCAGCCGCACTTCTTCGCGTGCCTCTGGAGGATGTTTTTGCTTCTCATGTACTTCAGACAAAACTCGCACAGATAAAGCTTTTGTAGTCTGGAAATGAGACAAAAACAAGAGAAAGGAGCTATTTTTAATCAAGGACTTTTTAAACATAAAACAGTTTTGATAAATAAACAATCTTTGAATCTTAGTTAACTCATTTCTTGTCCTCTACGTTTATAATAAATCTTGTCTTTGATCATCCTCCATATATTCACTACGACTCCTCTACATGTCCACTTCAATATGGAAACTTTAAAGATGCACTGTGTAACTTTTCTCCACTAAAAAAGTTGCACAATGCGCCGTCAAATGCTTGAGTCAGAATGCCTGTTTTTCTAGGTATTCTTGAGCTATAAAACCAAATTGAATAAAAAAGAATCACCTTTGAACAGAAAATATATTATACTTTTTACTTAGAAACGTAGAATCTAAGTAAATATAAATACATAATAATTTTATAATTTCTTATAAATAAATAAATGCTAAAATACTGATCTAAAACTGCTTAATAATTAGAAAAAAAACCCAAACTTTTTTCAAAACTGCAGACCTCCATAACAGCTGCTGATTTTAAAACCTACGTCTTATTTTTGAGTCTTATTTTTGAGTCTTATTTTTTCAATTATTCCAAGTGGATAGAGATAGGGGGCAAGTGAAAACGGGAATTTTCTCGCATGAAGGACAATGCAGGATTGTTCAAACACACATGAATGAATGAATCAATAAATAAATATGGCTAATTTAAACCCAAAACATCTAGCACGAGCTGTCTGATATCTCTAATCTAAACAGAAAGAACAGAAAACATACTTAATAATAATATTTGAACTTGGTAGTTTGTTTACCTTGAATATTCAGGAGGATAAGGCGATGAATACCACGTCTGGATCTCGTATTTTCCAAATTCGATGACGGAGGGAAATCGCACCGAGTCGCTGTTCAGAGCACCGGTTCTCTGTCAAACAAAATATTAACAAGGTGATTTAGTTCATTTAGTTATTTAAACCTTATGTGTCAGAACAACAGCAGAAGAAGAGTAACACAGTTTGAGAAACACTGACTATTTTTTATGTCTAATTAACACTGTTGGGCAAGTTACTTCAAAACTGTAATGTGTGATTTATGATTTGTTTCTGTCATTTCAAAGTAAGTTGTTAAATTAGAATATGACTGTGTTTAAAATGTAAAACATTACACGACTACTGCAGCACTTTAAGTTACTCTCAACAAAATAACTGTGTGAAGATGCTGAAATTTTGCGCCGTATATGGACTGAACCAGGACTAACCCAGGACTGAACCAGGACTAACCCAGGACTAAACCAGGACTAAACCAGGACTGAACCAGGACTGAACCAGGACTAACCCAGGACTGAACCAGGACTAACCCAGGACTGAACCAGGACTAACCCAGGACTAAACCAGGACTCAACTGGGTCTAAACCAGAACTGAACCAGAACTAAACCAGGACTGAACCAGGACTAAAGTGGGCCTAACCCAGGACTAAACCCAGGACTAAACCAGGTCTAAGCCAGGACTGAACCAGGATTAAACTAGGACTCAACCAGGACTAAAATAGGACTGAACCAGGACTAACCCAGGAATGAACCAGGACTAAACCAGGACTGAACCAGGACTGAACCAGGACTAAACCAGGTTTAACCAGGTTTAACCAGGTCTAAGTCAGAACTGAACCAGGACTAAACCAGGTCTAAACAAGGAGTAAACAAGAAGTAAACCAGGTCTAAACCAGATCTAAACCAGATCTAAACTAGGACTAAACCAGGACTAATCTTGGACTAGGAATCTAGGACCGCCCCTGAAAGAACCCCGAGCCCGTGGAGCAGGGTGTTCGCAAAGAGCGATCGAGAGTGGAGTTTTCCGTCAGTCCTTTGCGGTCACCCGACGGTCTACGCGGGTGCACCTCCGGGCCCGACATTCAGAACCGTAACAATGACATTTGTAAGTGAAATATAAAAAAAAAAAAAATTCATATCTGGCGAATTTTATATCTGACACAGCAAAAACAGTCTGGTATGAAAACAAACAAAACCATTGTTTGAAAAAAATTATCTATTAAACTAAATGATCGTAAGACCAGATGAACCGCATTTGACTGTTTATATTTGATGATTCCTCACCTGTGCTGCGAGCTCTTGTACTCTGTTAAAAGTCTCGATGTCCTCTTCGCTGACGTGCTCTCTGGACATGGCGGCCATCTGAGTCTCCTTCTTCACCCTCAGCTCCCCGTTCAGTCCTGTTCAACCACAACAGCACAACATCATAATATAACACAGCAACAACATGTATGACAATTCTGTGTGTTTATTAGTAAGGGCGGGCAATACTCACAGAAAATGTGTCTCTATATACATTTTTAAATTAAGATTATGCTTGGTAGTAAAGATGTTATTTTTATTATTAATCAAAAATGTGTCGAAATGTCCATGTGTGAACTGTAATGGTTTAAGTGAGCACAATATAGATAAAGCTTTTGTCGTCTGGAAATGAGACAAAAACAAGAGAAAGGAGCTATTTTTATCAAGGACTTTTCAAACATAAAACAATTTTAATAAATAAACAGTCTTTGAATCTTAGTGAACTAATTTCTAATCCAGTTTTTGAACATCTTCCATAAATTCACTATAATTCCTCTACATATCCACTTAAATATTGAAACTTTAAACTTTTTCTCCTCGCTTTTCTCCACAGCGATGTTATTGCTTTGTCTGGAATGTTTCACAGTATGGCATTAAACCTTTCTATCTCCATGGAGACCAAACCGGACCAAGTTACAGCCCAAATCTGTGGAGAGGCGACACTACCCACAGTCAGAATGTCTGTGTTTCTAGGTATTTTTGAGCTATAAAACTACTTGTATCCTACATTAGAGGTGTTTAAAGTCATAATGTGGAACATTCCAGGCAGAGCAATGACGTATCCATAGAAACAAGCAGGTAATTATAATGAAAAATGTACCAAAATGTGCATGTGTTAAGCGCAATGGTGTATTAATAAGATATAAGTAAGCTCAATGTGAAGGTGGGTAATATTCACACAAATTTATATAAAAATAATTACTGGATTATTCTAATAAAGATAATCTGATTATATTTTTGCAAACTATCAAATAAATGCTAAAATGTGTCTGTAATTGTCTTGGTTTAGGTTCAAGTATTGCACAAAAATACACAATGTACAAAGGTATTAAATATTAAAGGAATTATCTATGAATTTTCGCTAAGTCTGTTTCATTATACTTTTTAATCAGCTCTTTTTTCATTTTTTATAAGATAATTAAAATATAGTGTTTATCTTCCAAACAGCAATTTCAATATTATCTAACGGGCTTTGCATATTACTCACCTCAACCACAAAACTGAATTAAAGGGCTCATATTATGCTGTTTTCTAAGATATAATGTTGTTTCTTCAGCACAAACAGACCTGGAGTTGTGTTTTGTTTCATTCACGCATGTTTAACACTCAAACCCTGCGAATTTAGGCTGAGTTCTTCTCTCAGATGAAAAACAGTCTGTTCCACCTTGTGATGTCATGTGGTAAAACAAACAAGTGATCTGTACACCTTCACTAGAATCATTTGGAAGCCCTGGAATTGCCGAGCCTGATTCATCTTCGTGGAAATTGTCTGACCTCATTCACTCGACGGTAGGCAGATACTTTTTTTTTAATTTAACCAGTCGCTGCTATTTGGCTCGTGTCTAGGGATGGGCATTCGATTAAATTTTCTTAATCGATCGTCGGGAGAATTAACGATTGATTATCGATTAATCATTAACGTTTTTATATTAAAATGATCATCATTATTATTACTATCTGCACTACTAATCTGCATAAATAAATTCAACTTTACGACATATAAACATAACGACTCTAGAGCCACATCAATCCGTTTGACATTATAATGTGTTTAATTCAGTTTTGCGCAACTCTCACAGAAACGAAACTTAAAACCACATGGCTAATTTGCATAAACTAAGCGAAGAAAAAAAAAACAGCTCTTGTGCGCTGATGCGGCACGACTCAGTGGAATACAGGTTAGTGTGACCAGATTTGTGTTTGTCAAAACCAGGACACCGTACGGGGGGAGGGAGGTGGGGACTCGTCATCGACATTGAGCTGCTCTCACCTGGCAAATCTTTTTCCCTCTGGACACTGAAACATATGTGCTGCTTTGTACACTGTGCACATGGCCTCACACTTGTCCCGACCGGAAGGGAAAGCGTGGAATTTCTTGTACAAGTCATTATTAAATACACATTTGCGCTTCGTCACATTGCAGACTGACCGACTGTTTGTGTCTCGCTCCTTCTGAGTGCAGAGAGCTACATGTACGGACCCCTGTTTGGTCACTCAACACACAGCAACCTACATTCGGTTTGTCAATTAAAATGAACGTAATCGATGAAATTCTTAATGATCAATTATCGATTAATCGACTAATCATGCCCAACCCTAGTCGTGACATATGTAACGCACCGCTAACGGGGCTGTAAAGGAAATTTAAATATTGTATGATTATTTTATCTTTTAGACACAACATGTGGTCTTGTAAATGAAACTCACTGAGGTGGGAAAAACCCTTCAATGTAAATGCTTCTGTTCCCTCTTGTTTGCTAATCTTATCTGGAAGCAGGCTGATCAGGAAGTGATCAAGGCAGGTGAACATGGATGCAAATCAGATCAAGCAGTTGGGTTTCTGTCTCTCCTATTGTTTTAACTCCACATGTGACATCCTGCTCGGGAAGGTCAATAGAAACACATCTGGCCACACCTCAGTCGGAGTCTTCACCTTCTCACATTGAAATGTACGTCCTCTGGTCATCTCCGCCTATATAAACTTGGTGCTTGTATCATTCGGGGTCTGACGTCGAGGGGACATGCTGCTTGTTGTTCTGTCGGATCTATTTCTTGCAAGAAATAAACTCTGCGTCTTTGCTTCAACATTCATCAGTGTCTACAAACTGAGTCTTTTTCCACAACAGGGGCTAACTGGTATTTTCCCAAATCCCATAGGAAAAAGGGCAATAACATCTTTCCCCTTGATAAAATTCACCAAACATTCTCTTCTCGGGAATTGTTGACAACACAGAATATATGGCTCTTCTCTGATTGGCTGGTGCCCGGAATCGCACTTCTGGGGTTTTTGCGAACCGTCTAGTCTATTCTGATTCCTGACTTAGTCGCTGGAGAGAAATTAAATTGAGCGGAGGCACTAGGTGGCACCAGTCTGGCTAGGACTTACTTGAAAATTACCCCTTAATGACATCACAAGGTGGAACAGAGCATTTTGATAGACTTTTGCTAAGGACTAAGGCTGTGCAATTAATCAAATTTTGATCACGATTTCGATTTGTGTGTCAAATTATAATCTCATATAATCGAGTTGAAACGATTCAATCTTAACAAAGTTTATTTTTTGATAAATCTACTTATTTATATAAAATGTATTTTATTTTTTTTAAATATAGAGATTGTAGAACAGTTGGATATAGTTTATTTTGGATACATTTATGTTTTTCTATGCCTTATTTCATGTCCAAAGTATATTTTATTCATTTTATGTTTTATTTTATGTTTTATACATTGCAAAACTGCTCTAAGGTACATATTTGTAACCTATATTTATTTTCTGTTTGAAAGTTATGCGTAAATTATCAATCAATCAATCAAACTTTATTTATAGAGCACTTTTCATACAAAAATGCAACAGAAAGCGCAATAACTAAGTGTTTTGTTTGTTTGTTTTTTTGAGAGAGAAATGCTGTATAAATTTGAAGAATCGTAATTTCAATATTGACCAAAATAATCGTGATAATGATTTTTTCCATAATCAAGCAGCCCTATTTTAGACCAAGGTTTAGTTCATTTTCATAGCTGGCGAATTTTATATCTGACACAGCAACAACTGTGTGGCCTTAATGACATCACAAGGTGGAACAGAGCATTTTGAGCTTGGGAGATGTAGACGGACTAATAATAAACTCAAAATCAAACATGTGTGAATGAAACAAAACGCATCTCCCGGTTTGTTTTTATGAGGAAACAACATTAAAACATGGATTAAAGCTCACAAGAGTCAATTTTGTGTAATATAGGACCTGCTTTTTTGCTGATAAAACAAATTATCATAACATCCACAATATTCCAGTTTTCTACATACTCACTTTTACTATTATAATTTCAATATTTTGTATATAGACCATTCTGTGTATTGCCCACCTCTATTCAATAACATTATGAATTCACTCCACACAATGCAAAGAGAGTAAGAGGCAACATCTCAGCGGACTTTGGTAATGTCTCCTCTTTGCGTGTTTATGTGAAAATCCCAATCGTAATGAACAGAGACTAAAGTGGTCTAATTGTGTAACTGTTTTGAAGCTCTTAGTCATCCAGAGAGACGGTTTTCAGAAGCAGAGGCAGAGCTACAGAAGCAGGAAGTGAAAGATCTCAGAGCAGCAGGCAGTAATTTAAGTACACACATTCATGCCTGGTCTATTTTCAGCCGGGGTGAGAGAAAAACTAAAGCACAATCTGTCATCGACTTGAGTACTTTTAGTTCAAGATGGAATTACTTGGAGCATTGTGTAGTTATTTGTCCACTATTACAGTACTACAAGCCCTATAGCTATTACAAAGTACTACTAATACTGCAATTAAAACTGTTCACTATGGTAAAAAATTGATGCTACTGTTTAGAGTTGTCAAAATAAATCAGCAGTGTTGGGAAGGTTACTTTTAAAATGTATTCCCCTACATATTACAGTTTACATACCCCAAAATGTAGTTTGTAACATAATCCATGAAGTTACTTAAAGTGAGTAATGTAATCTGAATACTTTGGATTACTTGATATTGTCATGCTTTTTAAAACTACATGAATGTAGCAACCACATCCTGAAAATTCTTGTTTGTTCTCTTCAAATTGTCTGTTGAGCCCAAGTCTCCATGAATAAGCAACTGTTTGCTGTAGAGAAGCAAAGACCAGGAAATCTTAACATAAGATTTTTTTGTTTTGTCTGCTAAAAGAGAATAAAAAGCCCAGTCTTGACTTAAGCATATACAAAATATTATTGATAAAGAAATTATTTCTACATGAGATCACTGCTGCCTTAAATTATGTCAACCTACTGTTAGGTGTCATATTTTTTAGACCTGGTTTAGTCCTGATTTAGTCCTAGTTTTAGCCCTAGTTTAGTCTTAGTTTTGTCCTGCTTTAGTCCTGCTTTTAGAC